TAACTTTTCAACTTACGATAATTCCTTTCCAAACATACACTCGACGAAAGACACATTTACATGATACCTTCTGTTACCACAGAAGGTTCTGCTAGCATTTACAGGTGATTTCCATGTACTGATGGCATTTTTTGTCAAAATGGACTGTTATTCAGACGAAAACAGCTACACTGATATCCTGAGACGTGAAGTCTTCATTAAATGGTACTATGCAGAAGGGTGCAGCTTCTGCATACCGTAAACTATTTGTGCAAATGACATCACCCTCGAACTATCCTATCTTGCTTGTCATGGCGCTATTTTTACACAGTCCGCCTGAAACACTAAATATTGCAACCAATATGCTAAGAGAGTGTCGCAGTCAGACCAGAAGACGCGAAGACCAAAGTAACTAATCAGGAAATGGGAATTCTCATCAATCCAGATAACATAATTTTATGAAGACTTGCTGACAATAGATTTGTCCGAGTGAAATTGAAACTGACGTGACATATAAGTCCAGCCAGATTTACTGTTCTATTTAGCATAATTTATCAGGTAATTACGGTACAAACCTTCAGTTATCAGGCTATCAATCATTCAAATACCAAAAGCACAATGGCTCACAGTTATCGAGAACATGCATTTGAACGAGACGATCTCATATTAAACTACTCGTACTGCGAATGAATGGTGGCATATTATACCATCGAATACAATTTACCACCTTGATACTGCAGTCTAGAGATTTTCTGGTGCAGAAAATGTATTTTGGGGGTGAAGACAGCTGATGTGTCACTTCTGCTAAATGCCTAAGGACTGATAGGAATAGTTTGGTGCAGTGAGACCAGTTTTGTTTCAGCTAGGGTCGGATGATGTAGTAGACTGTTTAGGCAGACAGCAAGAAGTACCAAACAAAAAATGTCTAATAGCATGATTCATTAATAAATGAAACACACTGAGATGACTAATGCGGTTAGTTATCATCAGTGGCTAGATATCATAACATAGAAAGGAATATTAATTGGAGTGAACCATTCGGAGAGCAACTCAGTAGAAGAACAATATCGTCTGAACGGTTATGACGATTGTGTTTAGTAACCGGTTTTTCAGTCGAAAAAAATTACCAGAGTTATGGACAGACAGCCTGTATTTCTGCAGAATACAACTGTAAGGTTTGTAAACTTGATTTTGAAAGAAAGGCGGTGGATAGGTTAAGCCGCGAAGCCTAGTCAGATGCATGGGACAGCATCTATCATTCAACTTCCTTAAGTAAATAGAGAGAGCACCGCAAGTCATAAAGATATTATAATATATTTCTTCCTGTTCATGCAGGAACATACCAATTGTACAGGCATGGATAAGTTGTTATATAAATTACACATAATTTGATACATGATGAATTTACAGTTTGGTTGTTCTTTCTGGCATTAGAGTCAGCCGGAACAGTCTGCTATAAAGTCTGTTTGTGTAGCACATAAAGAGATATAGAATATTGTCTTCGCATTAAAAAAACCCAGACATCAGATGAATGTAATACAAATATCTGGGAAAAAAAGCTTGAAGTCAATCCTCTTACATAACTTTGTTGTGAACAGCACCCTTGGCTCAAAGTTTATTGATGTATTATGTTGAGATCAGTGATATGTTTATTCCATTTTTTCAGCAGTCTTATCGTAGATTTATAACGTGAAATAAATTTGATCGGGATGCGAAAACTAGATAAGGTCATGTTAAGTTATTTTACTGCATCAAATGGTGCCGAGGTCGATTCCAGAATTCTCCATTTGCGCCATTTGTGTCTGCATGGCGGACTGTACTCGGAAGTTGGGTAAAATGTTGAAAAACTGCTTGAAAACCAGTTGCTTCATCCTTTCAAATCATGAATACTCATTTACAGCATGTTCGCCAGTGTCTTCAAATGGTATAATTGGATCGTTCATGGAATTTGATTGATTATGAGATAAATGGTTTGGAATTAATCACAGCAGTTAGAATACAGTTAAACGTGCGGAGAAGTACTTTTGATTCAGCATCCAGTGAATTTTTTATTCTCTTTGATCTGGTACCAGAATAACCGCGTACTCCTCGTCGGACAATTTTGTTTCAAAGGATGACATGGAGGTGTCGCTGTCCAACTGCCATCTGCCAGGGGTCTTCAAAACTTGAACAGAATCGAGACAGGAGATATTCGTGTCAATGCTGTCGACTATTTTAAGTTGCGAGAGTTTAGCCTCAATCGTGGTAACACGTGTCTCCATTTGTGACATGCTTCCACGCGAAGCCCTTAGCTCTTCCAGACAACCAGATGTGAAAACAACTGGCTCCTCAGTCCTCGGACACATGTCAATGGGAACCGGAATGTAGGCATTTGATGTGGAACCGACAGACAACAAGCTTTCATTTGTGCTCGAAAAAAATTACCAGAGTTATGGACAGACAGCCTGTATTTCTGCAGAATACAACTGTAAGGTTTGTAAACTTGATTTCGAAAGAAAGGCGGTGGATAGGTTAAGCCGCGAAGCCTAGTCAGATGCATGGGACAGCATCTATCATTCAACTTCCTTAAGTAAATAGAGAGAGCACCAGAAATCCTAAAGATATAGTTCCTCTTTGGACATTCGCCTCATCCTTCTGAATTCTATAATGACTTGTTACACATGAGTGACTGTGGCGTTTTAGGGACCTAACATGTGCTTAAACCTGGGAGCGTCTTCTCTTAAGGTGCCAGTCTGAATTCGCTTATCCTGCAGGGTCATATCTAAAGTTTTCCACTGGGTGTATTCGTTTTTGATTGTTAGTTTGGAATTGAGCCCAGCCAGTGCTACTGCGTCAGCTAAGGAATCGTTACTCTAAATCTCTACAATGTGAAGATGTTGAATATATACAGCACTTGTATCAGAAGTACTTTCTTGGAATAAGCAGATTATTATTATTACACCTACATGGGACAGACCACGGTTTTTTGCGTAGAATCTCATCAAGTTAAGTGAAGACACCACTCATCAAGCCATTCCACTAATCGTTTTTCTTTTTGAAACATCATACTGTTATCTGTTGCTTCATTGTTGATGCGACCACTATCACACAGTAGTTAGTGGACGAAAATCAATTCCTCTGTCACGCATAACCAGTTAGCACGGCTTTCTTCATTTTTCAATGTAAGTGCTAGTTGTTTTCACTGTCAACCGTCTTAGAATCGCTAGTGATCTGACAAAGTTCTGGGAATCACTGAACAACCTAAAATGCATGGAAAGAGGCTTTATTCCAAAAAAATAAATAAGAGCTGCCAACGCGTGGTCATTGGCGTAGGTACCTTGGAGTTTCTTTGGCTCCTATCCTTCTGGCATGCAGGTAATGTCTACTTCTTTTAAAAAATGATAGTGGAGTATTTCGCAACGAATAATACGATGTTCAAGGACTACCGCTTTTAGGGAAAAGTTGGTGATCATTAGCAATCGTCATGGAAGCTGTGACCCCCAAGTTTTAATGTGCCCGTGTATATCAGTGGAGGTTCTACTTTGTCTTGGTATTCTTCTGAGTGATGATGGAATGAAACACACCTCTGCAGAAAGCAATATAATGGGTAGTCTTAGGAAAAAAATTTTGCAGGAGGAGTGGTTGTGAATGACTCACTCAGATTACGTATTCAGAGGTCAGTATTATGGTCTTTCAAGTGATAGGGAAGACATGTAGCTCACGTGGATGGCTTTTACTTGGTTGTGTTCCCTGAGCTGGCTGATGTACTGCGAAGCTGTCGTCGTTCACTAGACAATATCTTTAGAGAATGTCTTAACATATGGTGAACTTATGTGAATACTGTATAGCTGATGAATAGTATTTGCTAACAACCATTGTCGCAAGTGGCTATCAGTTTACATATTCGATATTTGGAAGCAATCGGCAGGAAGCCTTGGACCTAGGTTTCGTGCGATTCGGCACTCATCAAATTCACTGATTGTTTTTATTGATTTGGAATTTAGACATTTTTGTCATATGATGTATTCTTTGTTAGTCGGTAAATTTGGTATGTAGTAATATGTCAGTTAAGCGCTGATTAGTCTCTTTTCTGGGCTTCTAGAAATTCCCTAGCATTTTTGTGCTTCTACCGTTTAGAATGTCCACATTTTCCCCATCAGATTGGTTCCCATAATTGTCTACATGCTTTTATATGAAAGAAAACATCGAGTCTATTCAAACTAGTTTACATGTTGGGACCCTCAGCTGAAGAGGACGCTCACATTAAAAAAAATCGTTTATCTCAATTCAGTAGGTTTATATTGTAGATGATCTTGTCGTATTCAGTGTTGTGTTTTTCGGTGTCCACAGCAGTGAATGAAGTGATGGTGTTGGTTTGTGTGCTACGTTTATTTAAGAAAGGTTTGAGTATTCTGTACATCATTTCAGAGATATTCATTAAATTACTACAAGAGTGATTCCTTAATGGTATTTTGACTTGACTTTTGACGTTTATTGATGAAATTTAATGTGTATCCGATTTATTGAAAACAATTTGAAGAGTTAAGCCACTGCAACACTCCTCTCTTAAGGAGACTAGTAGAGGATCGCTTGATAATAAAACGCAACACTCAGGAATAAGGTTAGGTTCACTGTTAACAAATTTAAGAACGATTATTCTCCACTGGAGGTTTTTCGAACCGATTATTGAATCTTCTTCGTACAAGAATGCTAATTTTCAGTAAGTTCACAAAACTGCGACCAGTATTATGGCAACCATGCAGACTCAGTTAGAGAATATAAGAATGCATGGACTAATATGCGTATTTTTTTATTCCGAGAAGAAAGTGTATTCTCGAAAGATTTGTACAAATGCACCAGGCGAAAATTTCTTTCAAAAAACGTTAAACAGGATGTTTTGAAGGGAATGACTGATTTGGAGCTTTTCAACAACGACTTTGCAAATCAGTTTTCTGTTTCAGTACTCCAAAAAATAAGGCCGTGCCTTATTCAAAGTTCTAGGTTAATGTGAAGGTCGGTAATCAACAGATGGTTTGTAGAAAATGTGGTGCTACCTGTGGATATTTTTCACTGGATTTCATATTTTAACTGCTTTCTACCCAAACACTGTTTGTTGCGCTTCTGAGAATAAGGAATACGAATACGTACATCCAGTGAATAAAGTAATTTTGATTTATATGCACAGCTTTATGATATCTCATCCTTTAGATTCCAAATGACTCTTATATATTAGTGCATACTGTGGGAGGAGATCTTCTGTGTGTTCATAGACGTTCGGGTTCAGTTAAGTGGAAGCTACACTCAGGTAAGAATATATGTACATATATTTCACATAATTTCGCTTTATGTTTAGTTTCCGCTCTGAGTGCAGCTTACCATGATGGGTAGGTAGAATCTTCTTTTTAAAAATTTCGTAGACCAATGCTTGTTGTAGACCCAATCAGTGGATCTCTGTACGAATATGCCAGTGCTGTCTCTGATTTCCTTTTTCACCAGTTAGAACATTCGATCATGGGACACGTTCGGCGCTCTCCTGCGTATTACAAAAATTTCCTCTCCCTAGGTAATTCAAATATTTTCCAGTGATTTGTGGGCAGATGTTTAATATTTTTCTACCATTTTCAACATTTGCTTGGTTTTCTAGCATAGGGCTTACAAAAATATTTGTATGTTGTTTGTACTCCTGATTTTGTATAGATTCCAAGGCGTCCGGTTATCACACTTTTCGTCCAGAATCTGGGCCGTATAAAGGTTGATATGTAGTATTTCATCGATTCTTTTCGTCGCTCAATGCAGTTCGGTGTACATCTTGAACTGTTGCCTTGATAAATCTGACTCTAATTAGCGCTTGGACTTAAAACGCCGATTTGTATGAAAGCGCACCAGTTCAGTTCACAACATCGTCCAACTACTCAAATGCAAATATTTTAAGTTAAACGAAAACTACAATAGTGAAAAAGGGTATGAATGAATAAATAGTAACAATTTAGGTTTTCATTGAATGATTCCGCATCATTGTGGTCGATTTTGAGATGGCATCTGACTTCCCTAAAATTCTAACCACATAGACCTTAAGCCAGTATAGATTGTTTTTTTTCTTATTTTACGTTCCCGGTGGAACATAGGTCTTCAAACTAGTGACTTGAAGTTTCTGTAGCAGTGCTTATTTTTTATATTTTACGGGATGGGGTTGCTAGCCTCATGCCAAACCTTTCCTGTTTACCAGTCTTATTACTGGCTAGCGAGGTAAAGGAGTGCGTCGGCCAGGGATCGAACCCCGGACCATGTGCATGGTCGGCGACTGTCCTAACCGCTGTGCTACCGACTCACAGTTTAGATCGTATGCATTATAAAAGTTCCCATGCCTCACTGGGCATATTTTATAATGTAAAATAAGAAATCCGTATGTCAGAAACGCAGACATCCATCTCGTAATTCCTGGATTATTCTTCAAAACCCATTACAACATTATTATTATTAAAGATCATACAGTAAATTCAGTTTGTAGAATAAAATTCAAACCTGTGAAAGGTTTTTCTCTTGTTTTACTATTTATTAAACTAATTTAGTAGCCAGCAGTTAAAAATCTTTCTTAAGATGCTTCAAGTTGTTCTTGATTCCTCCTTTTTTATTCGAATATGGGGGGTAAGATGGAGTCGTGACTGGCTAATCTGTTAACGTAGTTATGGAGGTATCTTTTTATTTTTAATTGTTCCATTGTGTCGAAAGGGTCTTTAAGTCAATTACTAAATAATAATAATTTGTTTGAAGTGTCAACTAGTAATAAATTGCTTCAAGCAGCAGTATGGATTGTACTTTTCGTGTATTTAAGAGAAGTGTACAACTTGCTGTTGCTTTGGTTCTATTTACATGCTACTGGCCTGGAAACTTTCTTTCTTTACTTCAAAGCAGTACCTAATGGTCGTCTGAATTTCGACTGTCTAATTGTTCGTTTTAATTCGTGTTTATTGTTTTATTGTAAGTGTCCAAGTTTGTCTCATTGGTATCTTTGGGGCGGTAAAGATTATTATAAAAATGTAAAGTAGGTGAACCGGTCGTTGAATGGACTTACTCAAAAGTGCGTAAAAATCAAATTGACATGGGTGTTTACATTTAATAATTTGCTTCAATTAAATTTATTAGGAATACAGTTTATGTTGTTAACTCTTTCATTAGTTTTCAGAAATGTTTTTTACTTCTTGTACTTATTCTGAATTCCTCGTTAATGTACTAATTTTTAGGTTCCAAATCTGACTATTGGATATCTGTCGATATGAATACAGGAAACATAATAGAGTCTGTGTTTCAAGATTATGTGGATAAATGTCCAACTTCATTAAACACTGGAAATATAAATACCTTACAAAATTCAACAGAACAACAGGCTGATGTTATTAACCTTGGAAGAACTCAGTACAACCTTGTTCTTCGTGATCGATTTACTGGATCTGTTAAGTAAGTGAAGTACTTTCAGTTGTCCGTATCACTTAATGTGTGTCTTTGATGTATAATTACTCTATATGTCTATTGTTATGTCTTATGATAATATTGAGTCCTACTCTTCAGAGTTCATTTTCTTTCGAATATGCGGTTACACACCACTTACTGATAAAGTCAGAACCTCGTGCCTAGGCTGGCTCAGATCTATGTGTAGTAAAGAAATAAATATATTCCATTTTATATTGTCGTTGCTGACATATACTACTCTCACTGAGATTGATGTGTTCTATATGAGCCGATTTCATGTGCTAATCATGACTTTTAAACCCAAATATTTTAATTAGGCGTTGTATTTTATACACAGCATTTTTGGCGTATATTTATGCATTTAGTAATGAGCCGTTTTTAACTAGTATATGAGTAGTCTGAGTAGTATTAAATTTTTTACTGCACTTGCTTTAAATTTATGATTAATATAATCTTAGTGTGTATCTATACCTCGTGTTGCTAGTTTAAATATCTACAACACCAAGATTACTTCGATTGTAACCGCAGATTATTGCTACTCATCATACGACTTGTTTGAATCATTAACAGGATGTATCAAGGCATCATGAGTGGTTTACCATGTGCCTAGTGTATTAGAAAAATAATGACTTCTATTTCGAACTTATTTTCATTTCTATGTAGAGAAAAACTATTTATTGAATGCCTCCATTAAGTAATATTTTGTATATTCACATGGATGAAATAATTTCAATTGTGGAATGATATTTATTTTTTCTGAACCACTTGAGATTAAGGAGACCTTCATAGTTAGTTGTTTAGTTAAGGTCGAAAGATTTTTGATGACCGTAGTCTACCTTTAATTAGTGTCAGCGTCATAATTGTAGAATCTTGCTGCAAATACTGCCATTCGTCTAGTCAGTCTGAATTTTACTATTTGTATTTGTTATTTTAGGGATTTCGCAACATAGTATGATCACTGCCCAGAATCTTTGGTAGGCGTTCGTCTTCATTACTGCATTTCCTAACCCTCTAGATCATTGTCCTATACCAGAACGCCATGAGGTTTTCGAATCACTTAGGAATAAGGTGTGAAGAGTGTCGTAAATTTAATATTACCTAAGGAGCATTTCCTCTCCCTCTCGAATAGACCTTGAAGTATATCTTGCTTAAATCTGTTACGCATAGAACCTTATGTATTTTTAGGATTCAGCAAGTCATTACTAGTGTATATAAGTAGTGATAAGTTGATGTTTGCATTAGTCTTTAGAGAGATTCTCTTGTATTATTAGGTGGATCTTTTAGGATCTTCAACTAAATTTCATCAGACTAAGCTGTTGGTCAATTTGAATTCACTTCTTCTGGGTCACACTGGAAATTTTTCAGGTCAGCTTCAGACAACTCTGTTTCTGTGCATCTTATATACTTAGCTCCATAGTGTTATCTTTTATCGTTTCATCATTGGACGACCATTTCACATCATTCACATAGTAACTACATAGTGTTTTAGGTATTCAGAGGCTTAAGTTTACCATTTTATTCCTTCAGTATACTGCGTACTAAAGTTGATATATAGAATGTCATTCAGCAGGAATTCTTCCTGATTATCAGGAGACGGTTTCTAAATTTTTTCTCGAGATATTTTAATCAGTAAACTGCATGCATGTTCATACACAAGGTTGTAAAAAGTGATACTACAATCTAGTTACTTGAAACTCGTCTACTTCTCTGTAAGTCTTGTTGCTATATGTTTATTCCAAATCTTGTTAGGCTAGAGTGGAGTATCTACTTGTTTGTACTACGCAAGTGATTTTCACTTTACAAAGTTTTTATATAATGAACTATGAATCACTATTTGTATCGGCGTTTGTGATATTTTCTAGCTTCTCAAGCTGAAGTAGACCTAAGACTCATTCGTTGGGTATTTAATGCTAAAGCCAATGAACCTCAGGTATACGTCATTCATATAATGTTAAAAATCCTACTGATGCCTATGTGAGGTTAAAATAACACCTTGATTGTCTTAATTGTTTTAAATTGCAACTTAAAGTTGTGAAAGTTTTAAGCAGTGTAATACCTCGTGACTTGTCAGATAGACCTCACAGAATTGATGAATTAGAACTAAATGAGGTCATTAATAGCTTCTTTAATAGAAGCTAAGGGCAATTTCAGTTTAATGCTTTGTTTTTGCTCTATTCAAAAACTTTGAAGTAATTCCTGTGTGGTTTATTACTAGTTTAATTGTTGCTATCACTGAAAATATTTAAGACAAATGACCTATATAAGGTGAAGAAATCTCTGACAACAGAATAATACTAGTAAGCTATTTTCTTGTTTGGTACTTTTCAATGGTACTCACTGCTTATAAAATTTATCTAGCCAATAGATTTGAGTACTAGAAAGAATAAAAACCTATAGTAGTGGATGATATTCTCACTATATGACCAATAAGTTGAAGTTGTGTAACGCAGGCCGCTAAGAGTGCGTCCATTCAGGGAATGGTAAGGTATTTAGCCTGAACTCTTACGTTTCTTTTAGGTGTAGTCGTATGTGTACACTTCTGAAAATAAAATGCACCATTACAAAGAAACAACTACGCATAGTTTCTTGTGACGAAGGCATCTAAAAATGATCAGAATAACAGTTGAGTTTCTCAGAACAGCTAGTAGAGCATCGGACTAGGGATTTTGAGGCTGTTTCTTTTGAATCTTGCCGTGATTGGGTTTATGCATTTCACTGCCGATCATAACTTATTGCATCAATAGCAGTCTACCTACTCAAAGCTCTTCCGGGTAGTCTCACTGTCAATGAATCAATCAACTAAATAAAATCAATAGTGTCTAATAGATTAGTTAGCTGTTTATTTGTATGCAGATTTGTGATGCACAATAATTATAAATATAAGCTGTCATAGCTATTTCAGCCTTGTTTTGTTTGTGATTGATTCACTTTTCACTTTCAGTTGTGAATTATTCTAGTAATTTATTTGTTTTGTTTGAGTTTCAGTTGTAAAGAATGCTTTATTTGAAATATAAAAAGATTTTGAAGTGTAGGGAATTTTTCAGATAAATCCATATTGAACGTTGACTGGATTAACAAAATGTGCACAATACTACTTCGAGTCAAATTGTTATGCTTTGAAAGTGTTTCCTGAGAGGGAGTAGACAGTATGGACGGTATTATGCAAAAAGGTGTGTGGATGATAACCAAAGGAGTTTGATAGTTTAGTAAGAGAAGGGTTGAAATCTGCATTTCAAGTGTGTAGTTTAGTCATTAAGCGAAATGAATTCATACTATTTGGTGTTAGATCGTAGGAGTTAGTTGGTAGGCATCTCGAAGCTTAGGTTTGTAATTCGGTATTAAGTGATGCAAGTCCAAATATTGATGGCAAACTAGTTTTTTCTTAGTTTGTAGATATACCTTGCTGGTGAGTGCTGACATATGGAATAGGTCATTTACAAAACGACGGGAGTGACGACGAAATTAAGTTGTAGCGTATTACATTTTGAGAGTTAAATACAGAAGCAGTAATGCTGCGCCATAAGATATGTGTAATTAAGAAGCTAAGATGTGCTATAGGTCAGTGGATTCACGCATGTATGCTGTGGTTTTACTTAATTGTCATAAGTTTTTTACTCGTGATAATTCCACTTAAGATAGCTTTTCATAATGGGGTGAAAGAAATGATCCAGTTAGAGCTTGTAGTGAGTAGTAGTTAAACTTTTAATCTCAGTATTTGTCAGTTATTTATTCAATTACACACAGATGTTTGCAATCTATTCGTGGTCACTTTGTAGCTGAATGGCCTTCGAACTTACCTTGTGATCGGAAGGTCGTGGGGTCGAAACCCGGTGGGTGCTCACTGCCTATCCAGCACACCCTGGTTCTCAATGATTCTCTAGTTGTGATGAATCCGTGGTCAAACAAATGAAATCCCTACAAACTGACTCTTGAAGGCATAGCACAGCGGGGTTAGACAGGGTTGCCCAATCTCTCCATTTCTCTTTAACTTTATCATCGATGACATTCTGGAGTCAGCTCTTAAGATATGTGTGAAGGTGGTGTAGATCTGCTACATGGAGATAGACTTTTCGACCTCGAGTATGCAGACGATATCGTCTTACTGTGCGATAGCATGCAGGCTGCCCGAATCGCACTTAATCAGTTAGCGATCAGTGTCTGCAAGTATGGTATGTGCTTTGCGCCGTCTAAGTGCAAAGTACTGTTACAAGATTGGCAGGAGCCTGTACCTGCACTCACTCTTGCAGGTGAACCGCATGAAGTTGTTGATAAGTTTGTGTATCTGAGTAGTTGTGTGAGTGCTGGCAGAGGGGTGACGGATGAGATTTCCAACCGTATAATGAAGGTTAGGGTGGCATACAACAACTTGAGCCACCTCTGTTGCCGTCGCGATGTTAGGCTGGCTGTCAAAGGTCGGGTATACAATGCTTCGGTGTGGGCTGCCCTGCTCTACGCCTGTGAAACCTGGCCTCTCCGAGTAGGCTGAGGATGTTCGGCGACTCTGCGTGTTCGATCATCGCTGTCTCCGCAGGATTCCTTGCGTTCGATGAAATCATCGCGTGATTACTTCTGAGGTTCGGCGGCGTGTGTTTGAACACAGTGGTGATCACCATTGATTGAGTGTCGTCATCTGGAAACACCGGCTCCGGTGGCTTGGACTTTTGCTGCAAATGTCATCCCAGAGACTTCCGTACAGGTCTCTGTTCGCTAGCCATCCTGGGACGGGATGGAAAAGGCGGAGAGGTGGTCAGTCGATGACGTGGCGTCGTGGGATGAAGGATTTATGTGTTAGATTAGCATCGGTTGGTGTGTCACGACTCCCTGGTTGGGGTACGCGAGATAGCTCGAATCGATTTCTCGAAACGTTATCGGATATGGCCAAGAATCGTAATCAGTGGCGAATGTGTTGTGATTTCCTTCTTTCTTCCCTTCCCGATGATAGCTAACGAACACTGTTTGAACTTGTTAAGCATGACTGTTTTCCTTCCAGATGAAGTTCTTTATCCGTTCTCTACTTATACATTTTACTTTGAATCTATGCTGTTTTATTATTATTGTGTGGCGCATCTTTCTTGGTGCCATATTTTACCAAGTTTTTATGCGTTTAAATAATAAGTAATACAGTTTCATCGGAAGCTTATATTATTTAGAGAAGCATTAAGCAGTGGGAATATCATCAAGTACATTCACTTGATGAGACCTAACTAGAACAAAACATGCATTCTGAATTCCACAGCTAGCTACCACCGAAAAAAACACTGTCATGCGTCGAAATTTCCTTACCAAAAGTTGACAGTATCATTGGAGATTGAGCATCTCATTGCAATTTAATCAATCGACGGGAAATACAAATTAACTTAAATCGATATTTTGAGCCTAGCTGACCAGTTTCACCTTGTATTCCTTCAAAGGTATCAGTATATTATTTTATTCCTTTTCGTTCCAAGTGGAACATAAGGCTTCAAGCTTGCTATCCGCCTTCGTAGCCTCTCCTCTTTGCTAAATTTACCGCCAGCTAGGCGAGTTTTAGGGGTGCGTCGGCCTGGACCATCTGTGTGGTTGTTGAGTATTCTACCACTGGACTGTCGACGGGGCAAACTATGCATATGAATATTCATTTTCAAGCATGTTGTTGATGATGATAGTTGACATAGGGTTAGGTTGGAGAAGAGTTAGGAGTAATCATAAAAACAAAACCTGGTAATCAACTCATGAAGTCTTCGATAGTTGATTTGAGCTAGCGACGTAGGAAGGTATAGACTGCCTGGTTGGGGTTCTCGGGATGCTAAGAACCAAAATGGTTGGAGACCATTGGTGTTATGGCTGAAAATGTTTCTCAATAGCGCAGATGTATTCACTCTTTTCGATTTCTTATATCCATTAAACCCAGTTGTACTTTCATGTTATTATTCTCTCTCCCTCACATTTGTGCTCATTAAAGTGCTTTTGACTCTCTTTTTTTCCTTTTCTTTTTTCTACCTTTGTGTGTGTGTGTGGGGGGGGTTACTATTTTGTGCCAACTTCTACGTTGAAATTGAATCAGCTAGTCAGTAATGATTCCAGTGTTTATTTGTTTGATTATAAAATCTGATGGTTATTATTATTGTCATTTTCCTATACATTACAGGCTTAACATCACGTACAATACATTCGCTTCTCACACGGGGGCTGATTTACAAAATTACGGTTAGTGCTAGTTCTATATGTGTTTGTGTGTGTGTGTGTGTAATGTAAATTTTTCGAATTTCCTAAACAGATATTTTAGTACTTATTTAAACTCGTTTCTTTGTTTGGTATTAGCATATTACAGATTATCTGAGATTATGTTGTTAGACGATTGGAGGCATTCGGGAGAAAAACCCCTGAACTTAGGTTTCGTGTCTGTTGGCTGTCGTCTGCAAAGCGTGTCCAGAATCTCTATAAAACTCATGTCCCTTCTGAGATTCTAATCTGCGTCACCAAGTTCTGCAGTCAGAGACGTTTCCACTGAGCAATCCGGGCTTGTGAATGCCAAGAAGCACGAAATGTAAGTCTAGGGACTTCTTGCCGATCGCACTCAACCATCTAACATTAATTTAGAGTGAACCGTCATAGTGAGTCACTTTTGCGCGGTGGCAACATTGTGGACTTAGCTGATAGTACTCAGTTTGTAACAAATAAAGGACTACACTCATGACATTAGTTACTACCTAGTGTTCAATCAAGGTAAGGGAGATCACTTTGTATTTTATGAATAAAGCTCAGAGTTCAGTTGTTTGATGGTGACTTGCAGTGGGATTCGGGATCCACATTTCGTCTTATTTGAGACTCATCATTTGGATGTGCCTTCATTCTCCAATGAGTGATGGTGTTCCCACTGTTGAACAAGTAGTGACTTTCGTGGTCCAAGTGGTCTAGTGGATATTGCTTTGGCGTTTGAGACTGGCTATGTGGGTTTGAGCCTCGGTGGGAACACCATCACTATCTGGGGAGTGCTGTTACATCCAGAAGAGGAGTCCCAGATAAGACGAAGTGTGTATCCTGGATTCCACTGCCAGCCTCCATCAACCACTTGACTTCAAGTTACATGACCAAAACTCATCGAAGCATCTGCACAAGAAGCCAAATTGTGAACCTTAGCCCGAGCACTTCAGTCCAATCAATCGATGGGAAAATCTAAATTTAATTAAAAGCTCAGAGTTATTCCACATCTATACAATTTTCCTCCATAGTATATCTAACTGAGAATTAGACGAAACTATCATTCAGTGTTTTCTCACTGTAAACAGCATTCTAGTGGGAGTTGATTCAGAGCGGAAATGTCTTTGGAATTATTCAGTCCTAAAACTTTGTAAACGAATGTTTTTAGTTATTTGTGTGGAGATGTGGCTCATCGGCTTAAGGAATTGACTTTCACTTGGTGTGTCCAGGGTTGGTGTTCCACTCTACCTGTTTCAGCCTGGGCAACTGGGTAATATAGTCAACTTTTAAAAAATTAGTTTGTATCGTAGGCTGGCGTATCAAAAATCTATTCTCGCTGTCTGTGTCCTAACTATTAACTTTATTATTATTTATTTTATTCCTTTGCTTTCTGTGGGGAACATAGGGCTTCAAGCTTGAGCTTTGAAGCGTCGGTAGCAATGGTGTTAGTCTGTTTTTATGGGGTGGGTTGCTAGCTTCAATCTTAACCTTTCCTCTTTATCAGGCTTTCTACCAGCTAAGCGAAGTTTAAGAGTGCGTCTGTTGGCAATGGAAATTTGGACCACGTGCGTGGTCTGACTAACTAATGAACTCTATTTATTGCAATCTTAGGTTACATTTGATAGTTATCAAGCATATGTGAGTAAGGGGTTTCGGCTTTCTGCCATTCATTGTAATTTATTGTGATTACTTGGTCGATGGCGCAGCGGTTAGGACTCTCGCCGACCATGCACATGGCCGTGGTTCGATCCCCTACCGACGCACACCCGATATCAATGGTCGGCCTGCAAAATTTGGGCTACCGATATCACATGCTAAAAGTTCCATACTTGTATCAAAACTACGGTGTAGAACCAAGCTATAATAAAAAAAACATTAATTAGTGCTAATTAGACTATATACAGTCTGTCAGAAACTTCTAGTTGCTATCACCTTAATTCAGTGTTGCAATATATAAAAAAATTGTCAATGAAATAAATTTAACAGCAGATTAGTCATTTTGTGATCAGTTATCATTATGAACTGATGTCGTTTCATAAAAGAGAACCAACAACTGTAGGAAATCGAGCACTTGTTCCACATTTTTTGGGTCCTTTCGATTTTCAAACTAACTGGTTCTTTTGAAATCAAGTCTAGAGCATTTAGTCATCGTAATAGGCAATTTTTGTGGTACTGAAGCATCAGTCGATGGTAATAGAGAGGACAAGATCATCTTTTGTTAGGAGAGACAATGACCTGGTAACTACTTCAGTGACTATATGGTCATGGACTCTGTTTGACATGTCTGAATTAAGCTTGTGTAAAAAGTTTCACATCTGTGCAGATTAGTATCATGACGATTACTTCGAAGTCAATGAGGTTATCCTACAGTCTAGATTTGTTATTAAGAAGGCATATATACTCAGTGTTAGACCAACCCATCTTTCTACTTTTATTCTTAGTTTGTTTTCATATTTCGTCTTTTGCATTTGTAGACTTACAACACGTTGCTATTACACAACCGGCTCTGTTGACCTTTGAAGGATCAAAGTGTAAGTTGATGATATTTTGTAAGCAGCTTTTTTAAATATACTACTATTTGGTGTAGAGTAGTTGAAAACAGCTCATGTCAATCATTGTTACTAACCAGTCACAACTAGGTGATTTGCAAATGCAGGTACATATATAGGTGCAGTTGAGCAAACTGATTCCGCTGCACACAATAAACCACGTCATTTGTATGAAGATTGGTTGATTGTTCAAACCTCAGTGCATGAAGCGGAATTTGAACTTGTGACTTACTAGTGAATTGCAAAAAGAGCATAGTGTGATAAAACACGTAGCACTCTACAGAACCTTGACAGATAATGGAAACAATGCAAGACATTTCTGCGTCATAGTACTATTAATGTTTAGCCTTTGTTGACATGCCGGCCACTAGTAGTACGGACCTTTCGACTATGCCGGAGCATTAACTTGACGTGTTGTGATAACTGCTGACTAGCAGTGGAATGTGGTTTTTTATTCCTTTACATTCCGACTGGAACATTGAGCTTCAAGCTACAGCTTTGAAGTTTTGGTAGCAGTGTTTTTATTTTTATCAGGTGGGGTCCCCACTCTACGGTCTTATTACGGGCTTACTGGGGTTTAGAAGTGCACATGGTGAGGATGGAACGCCGGACAACATGCATGGTTGGTAGCGTTCTACCGCTGAACTACAGACGCATTCGCAGTGGAATGTACTATGTGCATTTCGTCCTATTTAGGACTCCTAGCCCTATTGGTCTGGTGATAACGCTTTGGAGTTTGAAGTAAAATGTGCTTGGTTTGAGTCTCAGTGCGAACACCATCACTCACTGTGGGAATGCAGGTACATTCAGATGAAGAGTCTCAAATTGGGCGAAATGTACATCCTGGATTCCACTGCCAGTCACCACCCATCAAATTACTGCGAGTAACTCCAGTTTATATGCATGGATAACTGAATAATACTAATGCACTCTTGGTAATAAATCACGTCAGTTTTGCGACAGCTGTATTAATGATTACATGGTTGCTGAAATTTTGATTGACGAAACACAATTTGAACTCGTGGTTCGTTGTCTGATAATCAAAATCGTAATTCAATAAGTCAAAGTTCTACGTTTATATTGTGATTAGCGAGTGTACAACTTATCATTGTGAAAGTGTTGTTGTTTTTGTTGTAACTCAGTTACCCGAAACATATTTTCATATACATCAGTCTATGGACCGCACTTATTGCATAGGGGTGGGTGATGATAACTCCTGTATGCAGTGGTGGAAGTAGGTGGAGCGGGAGTCGAACCTATAATTGGTTGACTTAAAACTGAATGCTTAGAATAATGAGCTGCATCTACACATTGGAGTGAATTAAACAACTGGCAGTGCTGTCGTAGCCACTCATCACTTTCTAATAGATGGTGATTTAATAATATCTTGTTTAAGCAATAAAACTGGTAAAATAGTATAATGCATTCTATCACCGAGTAGTCACATATTTAACCCACCTGTTATGCCTTTAAAAAGAGAACGTTTGTTGTTGTGTCAGTGTTTTTTGTTTACACGGACCTCGTTTCTTTTGTATATAACCTAATGTTAGCTACATAAAAAAGAAGAAACCATCTAGGAAGTGCAATCTATAAAAGGAGGTAAGAATGCTGAACTAAGTTGAAGTTCCAACGTGGAATTTTGCAAAAAAAGTGTAACAGTTTCCACATCTCTTAAAACCACACATAAAGTAAGGAAAAGTATCGAGTCAGTGAAGCATTGACTGACTTAACATGACTGTTGAAAATTTGGATGTTTTTCATTGTGCTGAGTGCTGAAGATCTCCACACTGAACACCTGTCTTGCTTTTCCAATCCTATCCTCCATCTGTGCTGACTGTAGTTGAAACGATAATACTGAGATAAGTGAAAGAGACATATAACTTCCTATCGATCTCCTGCCTTGGTGGCGATTGGGTGTCTTCACTTCTGTCTATTCTACTTTTGCCTGAATTCCTATCCTCGCTACCTCTTCTTCTAACTGGTTCGTATTCGCTTGTCAGTCTTCGAGTTTGTGCTAAATGAAACATATATAATCTGTGAAATCCGCCTTCTTGCTCCCTATGGCCTGCCACATTATCTGATTGACTATTATCATAAATGTCATCTACAGCAGGAGGTAGCCTTGTCTTGCTCCAACCTGCAATTCAGAGGCTTCACTCTACTAATAATAACTCAACTGTATTCTAATTATACTTTTCGGGGTATAATTTTAATCAGTAGTACAAGTACAAGTAGTACAAGTTTCACTTATGTCGGTAAACAAAAATAATCAATAACTATAATTGTCAACTGTTGTTTTCAAGTGAATTATGTTTTAATTTATTGATCTACATATACAAATTATCAACAGGAAGCTAACAAATATCAATTAACAGCATTACTGGAGAGCATGCTGTCAAATCACTACTATTAGGCTAATAATAGTGAAGTTAAATATTGAGTTACCACAGCGAAGATTGTTGCGCCACCATTCCTTCAGTGTGTGTGAACTCTTCGTGAATGAAATTGATGGATTTAAGCATTATAAGTATTAAACTATAACCTTTCCCAAAGTACAATTGAAAGCTGTTTGATAAGGCCATGTTATGTACATGATTAAGGAACTAACTGACTTCTGCGGTTTGAACCGTACATATAAATATAAGCTTGCCATTCTAGGTGCGTAGCGCTCTTAGTATTACTGAAATTTATTCAGAATCTTGTATTCATTCTTTATATTTTATCATTTCACTTATTCAGAGTGTTTATTTTTCTCTTTGTACATGATATAAAATTTCTATGTGAAATCCTACGCTTTTATGATTATCTTTCTGTTTGATTGTTTTCCCGGTTAACGTTAGTAGCAATATTTTTGTTTTTGACTTGTCCCTGGAGTGGGTTTGAACTAATTATCACTCAATGTTACATTAAGGGATGTCGTCATCAAGTTATTCGACTTGCAATCTACCTCCCTTAGGACTGTGTACAGTCCATGAAGTATTTAGTAGAATGAAATTGGTTACTCGTTTGTAGAAGGTTAATCTCAGTTCTCAAATGATGTCTTTGACTCTTGCACTGAACGACTTGGTTTAATTCTTTGTTAGGGAACCAATCCTCATGATGTTGCGAATACACTATGGTAAGAAGCGTCAATAAGTACGCAAGCTTTCTATTGAATAACTAGAAACCACGTGTCATAAATTTGGATTACGCAGCGATGGCGAGTCTCATAGTGTAGATACTACATAACGCACTTCGTCAATAGAATTCTATCAGCAGTAACAGTCAGACTAACGTGATATCGGTTAGTTTTTATCTGTGTGTAGAGATGTAGCTCACTGGCTTATTCACTAGACTTTTAGCAGTTGGGCCCACTGTTCCAACCCCAGTTTACCTAATTCACCCAGGGTAGTATCATTAGCCTGCATTGGATAAGTATTGCTCATATCAGGGTACATGACAAATTGGTTCTGTTCTGCATCTGTGGAAATTGTAAATTGTAAAATTCTACTATTTTTTACTACTGGTAGTCTATTTCTTAATACTTGACTTGATTCTTGATCGTTTAAGTAACTGTACAGTTTAATTTTGTAGACTGGATCAGTTGAACTATATCACCAATGATTTCGGGAAGATGAATATCCAACTATTAGGTAAACTCAGTTTGGTTGTCGGATGAATTTGTGATGTTAAAAATCATGAATAGACAGAAGTTAGAATTTGTGAACGATTGAGTCCCGTCCCCCTGGCTGGATAGTCAATGAACTCGTCTCGTAACCTAAAGGTTATCGGTTAGTGTTCCTGAAGAATCCCAAAATTTGGACGAAGTAACTGTCTTTTATTCCCTTGTTTCCAATGCTTCTCTAGCTTTTGGAAGTGGAAGTGTGTGGGCGGTTGTTACTTCCCGGCTGCCCACACCGTGGAAGTTGATTGATTCTTCGGGTACCTGAAACAGAGAAAGGGTTAGTGTTGCGTGACCGCAGAGCCTAGGGGACAACTTCTTGAGGCCGGTCACACACGGCTTGTATGAACTGGTTTCTGGGATTGGTTCCGTATTAGTAAATTTACCGCCGGTTATGGACCGCCGTAGGGTAAGTCGGGATGTACAACTTTTGGGTCGACCTTTTCTAACCCCCTCCCTCTCTTACACAATGCCGGTAACTGCTTTTATTCTAATCGCTATCCTAACAACCTTCCTGGCATGGTAGGACCTGCAGGAACATTGGTTCCAGTCAATGCAGCTTGTTGGGTCATCACAACGTGCAAACCCGACTACCACGTCAAGGTAGCAGCTATCGGTCGGAGCTTCTCTAGCTGATATCCAACAGTGATCAATACTTGATTTGTTGAATGTCTATAGCTTCTAGTTACTTCTATCAATCAAATATATATATATATATATATATATATATATATATATATATATATATATATCTTTATATGATACATATATAATTATTTGATATCAATGATTTTTTATTCCATAACATTGTATTGCTTCAGTAATTTGGAGTCTGCCATTATCGTCGCCTGTAATCGGTTTGTATGCAGTATGGTCACTGCCTGATTCATCGTCTAGTATTCATACAGTTAATGAAAATAGTAATAATAATAATAATGACAATTATAAGGATACAATTAATACGCACACGCATGGTAAAGATGTCCATCATCATGATGCGCCTGATGAGTCGAATTTCAACCCTACCAGTGATGATAAAGAGTCAGTAAGGGAAACAGTGAAATTGCCAAGGATTCTTAGACGTATTGCATTTACAACGTATGCACTAGATCTGGAGAATACATCACATCTTCCTGATGATCAAATTTATGATGTGATAGAAGCAAAATTTAATGGCACATTAGATTTCGCGTAAGTTTTATGTTTTATTTTGTATATATACTGATTGTCTGTGATTGTGTGGCAGTATAATGTGTGGTCAGTATTTCCTTACATGTGCCAATAGAATCTACCCTTACTGTCTTTAGTGACACCAGGATTGTACTGTTAGCAGCGAACAGTCTTTTTGTCACTTAGAGTATTCAGATGATATTGTCCTCTTAGGCGAATACACTCATAAAATACACAGTCTTCTGAACACTTTGAACGGAAGTCTTAGTATGTTTGGCATGCCATTCGCTCATGTCATATGTAAAATAACGCTGCATGAATGATCCACACCGTCTCCTAGTTTAAAAATATTATGTGAAGTGGTAGACCTCGTTGACTACTCCACTTATTTGGGAAGTTACATCAGCCCTAAAAGACTGATTGTTGACGAAGTCTCAGCATGCATAGAAAAGGCCTGTGTGAAGTGTGCCAACTTACGTCATCTTCGGCATAGACATGATATCCGGCTACCATCCAAAGAACATGTGTACACTTTGCTCCATCCTAAAAGTGAAAGATTCGAAAGGCTAACTGTCTTTGACCACAGGTGTTTGTGTTCTTTCTCATGTGTTAAGTGGTATAATATGGTGAGTAATACTCAGATTAAGCATAGTGTTAGGTAAGGAAGGTAAGTCTATCGATGAGGTTGTTAAGCTAAGTCGATTGAGATGGCTAAAACACGTCTGGTGCATTGCGAGACACCGCCTTACTTGACGAGCAACGCTAGCTGACAAGTGGTTAGGTTGGTCAAACCAAATCTTGGATTAGTCCATGAAGTCTTTGACATTTAGTTTAAGCCAGCCGCGTTGGAAGTGCAGACCGTTTTCCTGGAGATTTTTGGTGATATGACTGAAAATGGCGCAGATGTGTTCACCTTCGGTGATATCCAATAAACCGTCGTGTTTTCCATGATATTATTATTATTACTTCCTGACATTCCGGATTATTGTGATTCTTTTGAATTTCCTCTATCTCTCCTTTGTCTACCTTTGTGTACTATATGGTGCGTGGCAACCTGAACTGGTGGTGCACTCCTCTGCAAAGTTTTATATTGAAAGTCAGTCATCCAGTCAGCCATCAGTCAAAATAAGAATCAGCAGCGCTACTTTCGATCAATGACGGCCTGGTTGTTTTTACACTCTAGTTTCTGCCCTATTTTTGTATTAGTTGACTGGTGAATTCAGCGTAAAACTTAGCACAGGAAAAAGTTGATCAGTCCAAGTAAGCGCATTTTTAAAAAAAAACAGAAAAATAGGAAAATAAACTATTGACACACACTGGTGCACGGCGAGGGGAATTATCAGATAAAGATTAGTGAAATTTCTCACGATTTGAAAAATGACTAGTGACTTACTACATGACGAAGTTTCCTGGAGTTCTAGTGAGAAGTCGTGACCAGTGAGGTTCATCCGGTCAGGAGTGAGGATAGATTTCCTGCCCATGACATTGGTCGGTGGCCGCGCTAAAATCACGAATTAGTAGAAGTTAGAATTCATGGGCTGGCCATTGAATCTGGTTCCAGTTGCTGAATGGCCTCCAAAAGCCTCAGGATGGTCGGGGGTGGGTGCCTTGCGCTGCGAGTTGGCCACCCCTCCGCACACCTCTTGAAATGCTCCTATATGACCGGGCGTCTTACATAGCCTCTCCTGAGGAAGTCCTACTCACTGCCTTCACGTAGCGGAGGTGTTTCTCACCAAAGTGAGAGGGCGAAAGCGGATGCCCGGCGCTCTCCACCGGGTTGACTGTCCATTGGATGACGGTCTAGGGGAGATGGCTAAACCCTGATTCCAAACCTCCAACGACTGGCGTATAAAGCTCACCGGCAGACGTATGGACAAAGGGTTTGTTGGATGTCCTGGATGTCTGGCCCCATTCAAAAAGGCGTATGAACCGGACTCCGGTCACCGGCTGCCAATGGATAGTGGACTCCTTACTCCACTCCTACTGCCTTGTAGGTCACACTTGGCTGTGTAAAGGCTAGAGCTGCACTCTCAAACAAAAGGCCGAGCGATCCTGGGGACATCACTCGTACCAAATTCCCATGAAACTTCATGAACTCTCTTACAAATTGCCGCGCCTGGGCAGCGATGATTCGAGACGTTCATGAAGCCGGCTCATCCTCCCGTAGGAGATAGCCGAAGTAAAGTAAAGTAAGTAAGTATGGCATACGACTCTGCCTTGTAATCTGAAGGTCCTGTGTTCGAGCCCTTGTGGCTTGTGCGTACTGCCGATGATTCCCAAACTAGGATGCTTTTTGAGAAACTTCATGCATTTATTCCCCTTGATGAATTTGAATAAAGCAAGAACAACAGTGGTTTGTGCAGAATAATATGGTACCATCATTTATTTCGTTGGCTTCTCATCAGCTGCTGCTTATAGCCTAAATAAATTATGAGGTTTATGCACAGAAAAGCTCTAACATACTTGCAAGTTTTTTCATGATGACAGTTGACAGTTCCACAATAAATGAACAGTGTTCAGAAAATTGCGCTTATATAGTTTTTACACAGGCAGTTCAAGTTTAAACAAAATAAATGTATGCATATAACGGTAAAGAAGTTACATAATAAAGATGAGAGAAGCGTAAGATGCTGAGTGACTAATAAATTAGGTGACAATGTACTGAGTTCAACTCAAATCATAGAAACAAGAGACAAGCAAAATTACAGATTATCAAAGATTCTGTACACACAAATCTGATTTCAAGAGTTTGACAGAAATTGCTTCGGCAAAGCCAGATTTATATGTTCATAAAGAAGCAGTTATTAGTCTTTCCTTGCCCTGGTAACTGGATGTCTTTATTCTCTCATCTAATTACGTAATCTTTAACCTCACCCCCTTTTGTATATCACTCATCAAGTTCATGAAAAATCCTCATTCTCATATTAATAGACAGAATATCGGTAGTGCAGCTAAGGGTCTCTTTTCGGCGAATTCACTTTCATAGCTGTACAATCGCAAATATATTTGGTTATTTTTTATGTGTGTGTACATTAAATTTGTCAAGCGAAAATACAATTGGTTAGGGTTGTTTTAACTGAGTGGGTGAAAATTAGTAAGTTTCTGGTGGAGTTACATAATACAAAAAAACGTTCAGAGGAATTGGAAGTTCTCCAATTGGTGTTCTCCAGTCGCCTGCTGATCTGCAGAAGCTCGAAACTACAAGATCTCGCTCCTAACCACTTCTGTAGGTATAGATCAGTTAACCTGTTGCTGTGGAGCCAGGTACATCGGTCGTCCATCACTCATCCTGTCAAAAAGGTCAAAAAACACTACCCAGCGTGGTTCCAGAAAAAACTTAGTGACCGTGTAAGGAGTGCAGTAATTGAACATTTCGTCACCACTGGTCATTCCATCTCAACAAACACCTCCTTCAAAGTAATCTACAAAGTGAACAATAACCTGCCAAAGACAATACGTTTCCGTCTTCTTTGCGTTGCAGAAGCCCCCCCCCTAGTTAGAAGAACTAGGAGTTTGCGTACAAAAGAAAATAATTCAATTCTACTATCACAGTAAGAACCTCTGTTGATGGAAATTAATTTTTGTTTACTTATTTTTCTAACTACTTTAAACTCCTGTATTCCTTTCAAAGTCTTACGTAATTCAGTTTTTTATTTTGTTTCCATGTACACCCTGAGCACAACTCTTTCATCAAACTATTCATATTACTACGTAACTCTTCTTTAACAGTCGTTTCTGACAACTCATAACTTTTGTTACTACCCTCTTGTATCAACATCCAATTCCTCTGAACGCTTTTTGGTATTACGCAACTCCACAAAAAACCTACTAATTTTCACCCACTTAATAATTACAACAACCCTAACCAATTGTATTTTCATTTGAAAAATTCAATGTACACACACATACAAAATAACCAAATATATTTGTGATTGTACATCTGTGAAAAGGAATTTGCCGAAAAGAGACTCTTTGCTGAACAACTAGTCATCAAGTTGTATCGTATCTATTTATATTTGGCGCGCAAATTCATTCAATGTTAGAAAAATGGCTTACTCAATGTGAAGGGAATTACTGGTAAGGTGAATAGGTTTATCAGTATGATGAAATGTCAGAATGCATTTTTGACTAATGAAGCGATAGATGTAGACTCAAGGGTAAAGAAAACAGTAATAATAATAATAATGTCAAAATGAAGTGCAATCAAAATTAACTTGAAATAGTATCATTATAACTGAGGTAAACAAAGTATTTTTGAGCTTTTATTTTTGCCTAGCATATATTTACGCGGTACATGAACATAGTAAACTTATTGTTATGATTTACTTCGATGACTACAATTCAGAGAAGTCTAATGCATAAAATAGTCAAAGTAAGAAAAAAGTGATTTCATAGTATACAGTGACTATTTGTAACTCCTCACTTTATTTGGTATTCATTTAATATCTGTGTGGGTGTGTGTGTGTGTTAATTATGTTGATTTTAAGTGTACAATCAACATTTTTATTTAGAAATTATTTCATCAGTTATTTATTTATGTAAATATGGATTCCATGCATTTATTCTCCTATATGAATTTGAATAAAGCAAGAACAACAATTTGTCGACTTCTCATCAGTTGCTTACAGCCTAAACACTTTATTAAGTTTATGTACCTAAACAATTTCGCCTTACATATACGGCCTGTCAAAAACATACAAAGAACATGTTCCTCTAAGAGCTATACTTTCTATGATCAAATCACCTCAGCACAAACTAGCTTGTTGGCTTGCTAGTTTTTTCACCATGAAAGATTCATTTCATTTTGCCGACCGCGTGAACCGCATGAATGTTTTTCAGATAAGTTCATGGCGCCGTTTCATATAACCTCCTTGTTCACAAGGATCCCAATCAATGAAAGCATCGAGATCATTTGTCAGCATTCTGATCTTCTCCCGGTTCCAGGTCGGAATTCAAACGCCTACTACTAATGTGTATCATAGATGTACAACTCCAGTTTGACGACATTTCTTACCACCGTCAAATACATGATGGTGGTCAGCTATAGGTAATCCTTGTTAGCCTTGTTTTAGCAGACATCTTCATGTCCAACAGTGAAAGAACAAAGTTGAAGCATGCACAATATTATTATTATTGTTCCCTTGGGTTCCTAGTGGAACATAGGGCTTCAGCTGCACATCTCCACTTGCTTCTGTCTTCCTTCTGCTGTACTTTTCACCTGCATCCATGTTAGTACATACTGTTTTAACTCCTATTCACACGATCTCTTCCCTGTCACCCTTGCACTGACGTCTCACTCGTCTCTTCCCTTTCGGTTCCACTCGAGCAATGGCCTGACGCGGGCGCGATGTCACCCGGTGGCCTCCTCAGCCACAAGTGTCCAATCCATCTACACATTCTCCTGCATATTTGTTGGTTGGCGATTGGCTCTTGTTTTGTTTGTTCCCATAGTTTGGTTTCTTGTTGGGGATTCTTTCCGGCCAGGCCATCTAATCTTCAGTATAGAGTGAAGACAGTTGTTGGTTGATAAAGGTCTGCAACAGGCTGTTGGAAATATGCTTTGTGACCCACCCGCCAAGTTTCTGATCCGTATAGAAGAAGTGACTGACTTGACGTTTAGTTGTTTCTTTACCAGTTTTAATTATACTGAATTAAATTAAAAAGAGGGGCGGGGGGGGGCTGACTGAATATTGTGTAAGATGGGATAATAATCCATCAATAATCAAGACCAACAGGCGGTTATCCGACTCGTACCCCAATACAGTTTCTGACCTAATTTTGACTTGATTTCACTGGCCGTTGTATTCTGACTATAATGGATTATTAAGGGAGAAAGTTGGTGGTCTGGTAAATGGTCATTTTCGACAAGATGCTCAGTCTTATATGCCATTGTCTCTGTGTATAGCACTGTTTCTATTGAAAGTGAATATAAAATGAGAAGAATTATTTTTAAAATTCATCAATTTATTGAGACTACCTGAATAATTTACCTTCTTTCTTTCTTTCTTTCTTTACTGTTTAATGCAGACCTTCACTGTATGTCGGTCGATCGAAATCAGCACCAGTTTACGCTTTTATATGCGTAGCAGAATCTACACTACGGTTACGTGGTTTACGTAGAGCCTCTGAAATGTATATGTTAGAAGGTCCAAAAAATTTGAACACTGTAGATAACAATCGACCGCCTAGAACCGAAACATACAGTAGCAGTGATCATAAGAATAATGATAATATTTGGCCTAACGGTCTTATTGGATTGTATGAATTGCCTGCAAGTTATAATAGACCTTGGGTTAATAATGCAGCTGATGAACAGTTTATGCATATGCGTGAAAGAGGTGGACGATTAAAACGTCTATCATCAATACCATCCGATGCGTCTACTATGTAAGTGAATTATTATCATTATTATTATTATTGTTATTAATATTAAATGACTTTTATATTATTAAAAACAAAACAGGTACATCAGCGAAGAGTCTCTTTTCGGCGAATTGATTTTGTGTGTATGTGTGCACTAAGTTTGTCAAACAAAAATACAATTGGTTATGGTTATTTTAACTAAACAGGTGAAGATCGGTAATTGGAGTTTTTTTCCTTCACGTTCCCCGGTGGAACATAAGGCTCCAAGCTAGTGGCTTGAAGTTTCTGTAACAGCGTTTATTTTACAGGATGGGGTTGCTAGCCTCATGCCCAACTTTTCCCCTCTACCAGCATTATTTTTGGCTCAGCGAGGTAAAGGAGTGCTTCGGTGGTCGGGGACCGAACCCCGGACCATATGCATGGTCGGCGAGCGTCCAAAAGGTAATCGGCGTTACGCAATACAAAATCAGTTAAGAAAACCAGGTTTTAATGAAATTAGGGTAGTAACAAAGGTGATGAGTTGTCATAAACAGTTGTTAAAAAAGAAGTTATGTAATAATATGAATATTTTGACGAGTGAGTTCTACTAAGGATACACACAGAAACAAAGAATAGAATATGAAATTACGTAAAAGTTCTAAATGAATAGAAGAATTATAAGCAATTAAAGAACAGGCAAAGAAACAAAATTAAGTCATCAAAATAAAAAAAAGTTGTTACCATGACAGTAGAAGTAGTTGAGTAATCCTCTTTTGTATGCACAGCTCCGGTTTTTCTATGTGAATGGCTAGAGCTTCAGTGATACAAAGAAGACAATAGTGTTTTTGAATCCTCTCGGACAGGGTGCGCGTCGAACGACCGATATACCTGGCTCTACAGCAGCAGGTCCTAGAGGATTCAAGAACACTATCCAGCATAGTTGCGAAAAGGCAATAGTGGTGGTATAAGGAGTGCGATAATTGAACACCTGGTTAACACCGATCATTCCATTTCAACAAACGCCTCCTTCAAAGTAATCTATGGAGTCAAGAATAACCTATCAAAGGCAATACGGTTTCGTGCAGTTAAGAAAATGAATTCGCTGGCGAAAAGAGACTCTTCGCTGAACTACGTGTTTTGTTTTCATTAATGCCTGGATTGGGATTATCCATGAATTTTATATTATTGATTTATTATTCCCTTAGGTTCTGAGTGGAGCATACGGCGTCAAAAACACATCACCATTTCATCCTCTTTACTGCAGGTTGGAGTCCTTTTATCTGTCAAGTGTCTTTTCATGGGAAATATCTACTAAGCTGTCCTAATCATGTGGAGATGTATCTTATTGGCTGTAGAGATTGACTTTTGGTTAATGATTCCCAGTTTCGAATCGTGTTTTATTTACTTATGTCTAGCCAACCGGAAAGTAATATCAACACTGGCATAATAAATGCCTCTTATAGCCTACTTTGAACAACTGTGTTCCAACAAACTAGTACTGATAGTTTTTAAAAGAAAATGAGAGTTGTCATTTAGCATTCGCAGTATTGATGACAGAAATTCAGAAGAAATTGATCTGAATTTTTAGAACTCTTAGTTGTGAGATCTCCGTCGACGACTGACTTGACCCAAGTAGAAAAAATAGTATAATTTACAAAATACCTTGCAATGACTGTGAGTTAAGTCAACTACATAGGTGAGTCAAACTAGCAAATCAAGGGTAGTCAGATTGTCGGAATATAAGAATTTAGCTAAGGTTAGAATGATTGACCTCGTGAAAATAATAAACTTAGAAAAGAACTCAGCAATTATACTGCATGTATTAACACGCAACTACACAATAGCAAGGGGGGACAGAGTTACAGTTCTAAAAATTAATGTAGCTAGATGGAGAGAGAGAGAGAGAGATTGGTTACTGAATCTTTGTTCATAGAATCTACACCCAACACGTGCATTAGGAATGACTCATCACCAAGTTATCAGATATATAGAAAGTATTACCCCCAGTCAACTCAAGAGATGACAATAATGGAATTGTATAAGCGATGTCAGGAAGTTGAATGAGTACCTTGGTATGATTATGAGCAGTAATAAATTGTACTCGAAACGTGGTCATCAGTCAATATTACTGTATAACACTGTGGGATTTTATCAAAATAAATTTTACCCACAATGGAATTATACTCTACCGCCACATGGCACAAGTTCTATTCTTACATCACTGACATGAATCAATTGAGAATCCTTAGAAATCTGTATCAGGTTTCCCTTGAATTTAACACTTGGTTGAAAATATTACCCTTGTTTATTAGGTAATGTAATTATCAAGTGAAGATTTTGTAACTTTTGGGGCTTTGGGCAGAAATTTTCTGTATTTCAGAGAGAGAGAGAGAGCAGTAAAGAATGTTTCATTTATGTAATGGATGGTCGTTAAAGATGAAATGCTAATCGTACCAGTGGCCTACCAGATGAGCCAAGCTACCCGACTGCCAAACAAATTACAATGTCACTGTCACTATCGTGGGATAGACCTAACTGTCTTGTGAATAAAGCATACCCTGTTATCTGTCTAGCGCCACACTAAGTTGCCCAGATGTGAACTTTCTCCCGTTAGTTTCTGATTATACTGATATAGGAGGAAATCAGTAGGTTGTTAGTTGGTAGCAAGACTGTCTGTGACTATCTGAATCCTACTGCAACTCATATTTTCACTTCGCTTTGGTATTAAATGGTTGGATTCAATCGGCAGGAAGCCTTGGACCTAGATTTCGTGCTAGTTGGCACTCATCAGCACGAAACCTAGGTCCAAGGCTTCCTGCCGATTGCCTCCAACCATCTAATACCAACAATTCACACTGCACCGTAATGGCGAGTCACCTAGGATGGTGGTCACATCGCAAGCTTGACTTATGGAATTCAGCCTGCAGCGAAGATACGACTAGATACATTACACTAGTCACTGACTAGTGTGCAATCAAAAAAATCACTTGGCTTTGTTTATCGCTCATTACCTCAGTAGTAAGTAGTCTACCGGCTCAACGTTATCAAAAATAGTAACCTTACCATAGAGTCAAGGGATTTGCAAACTTTTGTTATTCTCTGATGATAGTTGTGATAAACAAGAAAGTTGGCCTTCTTAGCGTTTGAATAGAGGCAGAGACACTTGAAAATGCTTGAAAGAAAACATGGGTATTGTATGACAGCAGATCTCTGGTATTCTTCGCTAAACAAGAGACCATATAGATCGAGTTATCCGGAATTCTGTTATTCGAATAGTCACTAACTAAAATTAAACTATTCGTCGGACATCAATGCATCCGTCAACATATATAAGTATATCATGTACAATTAAACCTCAGTAGTAAACTAAAATCTATCAAATTGGAAAATTCGTTTCCCTGATAAAATAATCATTCATCAGCAACTTGGATCCTTCATTAACGAGTCTGAAATTCTTTGGTGCTGGTCAAAATTTCATCAAACTCTATACAATTGTTCCACTCCCGAATACACTGAGTCAAAATTTGTGAGCGCAACCTTGTGTTCAATCCCCTTCTTAATTATCTCCACCAGTTCGAGTCTAAGTGAGAACACCATCAGTCACACGGGATTGTAGGTACGTGCAAATGATGAGTCTCCTTCTCACACGACCTCTTCCATGTCACCTTTGGACGCCCAACTTATCATTTCCAATTGTAGTTCCACTCGAAGACGAGGTACATGATGTCACTTAGCGGTCTCCTCATTGTGTGTTCTGTCCGTCTCCATTTTCTTCTGCACATTTGTTGGACAGTTTATCGTTTTTGGTTAGTTCGTTTCCTGTTAGAGTTTGTTGGCGTTAATCCTTTCTGGACATCTGATGCTGCCTAGGCAAATAAAATTTCCCGCATGAAGTCTTGTCTTTGCTGCTTGCTTCTTCTACCGATTTGTCGGTTTTCGCCAAGTCGATTTTCGAGTTTGTGTGATTCTCACTATGAAACTATGGCAATCACCTGTTACATGAGTCTATACTACATTACGCATATGAGAATATAGGGAGCTTGATGTTATCCTTAACTAATTTTCTAATTGTTTGAAGTGATGTCCTCCACTGGATTATTAGGTTATTATTTTTCATTGTTTTATTCCCGTAACCTATTCTCTTAATGTTGGTTTATTTTATCAGGCTTCTTTCAATATTTTTTGTTGTCGTTGTTTTATATACTCATACAGATGTGAATTGTTCATCATGTAAACAAACAAATTGTTGTGTATATGTTTTGTTTACTTTTGTTCTCAACTCTCTCTCACGAACACACACTTTCACATGTAACATTTCAACTATTAACTCAATGTGTACATATATCACCTTGGTTACCACTTGTTTTAGCAAGTATAATAAAAGATGAAAGAGAATAATAGACTGTTTATCTGTTTTCTCTCTTCTTTTTATTGCTTGCTAATTATTTTCATCGTTTTTCTATTCTTTTATTCAATTTACTCATTGTTTTTATTATTTTTAATTTAATTGGTTATGACATATTCTGTGTAAAACTGAACTTGACCTACAGGTATAGGTAAAAATTAATGACTTAAGTTACGGACTGTTCACACACACCCCCACACACACATGCTATTCAATTGGAACTAAAGACGCATAATGTTTATCCTTAAACTAAATTGTTTTAAATAAATTAAGGCATAGCGGTTAGGACGCTCGCCAACCATGCACATGGTCCAAGGTTCAATCCCCGGCCACCGACGCACTCCTTTACCTCACTAAGCCAGAAATAATCCTGGTAAAGAGGGAAGGTTGAACATAAGGCTAGCAACCCCATGCTGTAAAACTCAACACTGCTACAGAAACTTGAAGCCACTAGCTTGGAGCCCTATGTTCCACTGGGGAACGTGAAAGAATAAAAAAGACATTTGACTATTCACTGGATTACAGATGGGTATCTCTTATGTCTGCGTCGGTGGTTCAGCGGTAGAGTACTCATCAATCACGCACTTGACCTGACGTTCTATCCCCGGCCGACGCACTCATAAACCTCGCTTATCAGCTAGTAAGCCTGGTAAATAGGGGGGTTTGGGCGTAAAACTAGCCACCCTACCAAGTAAGAAAAAGCACCAATGGTATTGAAACTTAAATTCTCAAGCTTGAAGTACGCCGTATGTTCCACTCAGAACTTAAAGGAATAAAATCAAAACTTCACCGGGTAGATAATGTAATATGTGTTTGTTAATGAGGAGGGTGAAAAAAATCCACAGGAAGTTAATTTCACTTTCACAGTGTATACCTTAACTTCAGTAATAGGGACACTCATCTTCCAGCTGTGAAATCGTTATCAATTACTTAACCAATTAATCAAAGTCATCTTTATTTTGGTATTTGAAACCATGGATAGAAAGTTCGAGTCTCACAGTATCGGAACATCATCGATCACTGGAAATGCAGGTATATATATCCAGTTGATGAGTCTTTAATAGGATAAAGGATACATCCTAGATTCCGCTGCTTGTTAGTCACCATCAATCAAAACAATGAAATCATCTTCTTTGTTAATATTATTTGACTAATTATTACTACTTTAATAATGTAGTCTTACAAAATGTATCTGGTGTAAAGTCACATGCATTGTGATACTATCTAGATGTTAAAATTTTCTGTAGGTAAAATCAGGTGGATAACTTTGAAGTTGTTTTTTTGGGTTTTGCTTGATCTCCTGATTCAGTTAGGTGTTCCAGAATAGAGCTTCGGAGGAACCTTTTTTCTTTATAAAAACATGAGGGTAAGTGTTCGACGATACGATTGGATAGTGAACTCTGGGTACGGCCGACATACCTAGATCCACACGATCAGGTAAATTAGTAGATGCACATTGATGAGGCCAGCCAACAGTGGTAGCTTATCTTTCACGTTCATGCGAATCATTGGTTACGTAGAGAAGATTAGTTGGAGTCCAACGGCGAATAAGGTTTTCTTCAATAAACCTGACAGGCAGTTTCTCAGTAATTCTGCTGATGAATCTCCATTCAATTTTTAAATTCAAGTAGAGAAACTTTTTGGAAGCAGAAAGTGTGGGCAGTTTTGGTGTTTTTTCAGGTTTCATAGATTTTGTGGTGAAACGTTCTGGATAGCCATTTTCGATGAGAATTCTCTTCAGAGTGTTTAATTCGCCTTCCATAGTATCAGGGCTGCAAATTCTGCGGATCCTATGGCTCAGCGAACAGATCAGGTTTCGTTTCGTATATAGGAGGGACCCAACTGTGAAAGTCAGTGAGTTGTCTATTCCGTGTCAGCTTTCTTTCGGTGGATCTTTTTAATGTTTCATCTTGTTCACGTCCTGTTAATTGGACTTCTAGAAAAGCGAATTTTTTGTCGGATTCCTTCTCTAGTGTGGACTGAATTACTGGGTGTCAGCTGTTGAAGAATTCCAGAATGTCCTCCGAATTCTTCTCATTGTTGAATATAATGAAAGTGTCATTCACGTATCTCTTGTAAAATCCAAAGTTGTCAATCATTCCCATTAGATATGTGTTTTCTAGTTTTGGCATGAAAAAATCTGCAAGCAACAGGCCAATCGGTGAGCCCATAACTATACTATCTCTCTGTTGATATATTCCATTATTGAAAGAGAATTGGACGTTTAGGGTGCATCTGAATAAGAGTTCTCTAAAAAAATTCAGTGTGTATACCAATGTTCATCCCCTTTGAATCAATATTTTCACAAACATGGCATATTGTTTCAGTTAGTGGGACATTCGTAAACAATGATACCACATCTAGTGAGAACCTGTTTTGATTTTTTTTTGATTTACAGCTTGATTCCACACCGTATTTTGGTACAAGTATGGAATTTTCAGCGTGGATATCGGTAGCCCAAAATTCGCAGGCCGACCATAGATATCATGTGTGCGTCGGCGTGGGCTCGAACCCCGGACCATGTGCATGGTAGGCGAGGATCCTAACCACTGTGCCACCGACGCACACATTGACGTTTTTTTTCAATGGAATTGACTAAATCGATAGGTGGCAGGACATTTGCTTTCTGACTGGTACTATTAGGTCAACTAGCCATTAGGCAGTGTCATGATAAAGTGAATTTGTCATATCGAGAATGGGTCGAAGAGTTATGTCTTTCTTGTGCACTTTCGGTAATCTCTAAAGTCGGAGTGTAATAATAATGAAACACATCAGGGGTGATATTTTACTCTGACGTAACTGAAAAATAGTTTCCAATTACAATGAAGGGTCTCAGTTTTCAATTTTCTCAGTTATCAAAACTGTTTCACCCATATGACCAATGAAACACTCCTCCCATTTATCTACTTACAAGAGAAGTAGAGAGAAGAGCAGCAAAACAAACCCAACCCTAATCCTAATACTAGTTCTAACCACAACCCTTATCATAACGTGCTTTCAACCCGTTGTCCAGACAATGCTTAAAAACAAGATCAAGATCAGATTGCACCTCACTTTGTGCACAGCGTTCATACTGGTGCCGTAATAACTGCAGGTCCTGTGATCCAATGAACGGCATGCGTTCAAGGTGACTGGTGCGTTCGCAGTTCATAGTTGCTACTCTTTAGGTCGGCCAGCTTTTGAATCTAGATAGTATCATTAGTACTCTCACTATAAGTGTAGCTCACTACTACCTACATATTAGAGCAAATAGTTGTCGAGCATCATACCTAAATCACAATCTAATAATACTGTGAGTAGGGCTTATGGTTTGCCACTGCGTGACCTCGCCAATACTATAGTCGAGAGACACATAAATTTCTGTACAACATGGGCAAAGGCCGCACTGTCAGACCCTCTGCATCTCCTTTATTCACAACTATCCCCTTTTATCTCATCAGACAAGACGAGAAGTCAATATAAAAAGTTACATACTCGAACCACTAAGTACAAAAATTCTGGAATATCGTGTTTAGCCCGTAACTTGATGCATATTTTCCTCTGTATTGCATACAGTAATTTGCTATATAGCTGCTATAAGAACGTTTTGTTATTATTATTATGTAATGTTTATTTTTTTTCTATAGTTTGGTTTGTAAGGATTAGTTATGTTTTACGAGTTGATCACGGATTGATATCAGTTAGAGAACCATTGAAAACCAGGGAGTACTGGACAGCTGCTGTTTCATCCTAGTTTGGGAATCATCGGCAGTACGCACCCACTGGGTTTCGAACCCAGGACCTTCCGGTTACAAGGCAAGCTCGTATACCATTCAGCCACTGGAACCCGATTCAATGGCTCGTGAAGTCGTGACCAGTGAGGTCCAATTAGATGTCACGTGTGTGGATGGATGTCCCACCAACTGCCGATGATTCCCAAACTAGGATGAAACAGCAGCTGTCCAGTACTCCCTGGTTTATTTTTTTGTCGTTTTTGAGTAAATTATATGCAATATTGAACTGAATGCTGAAAATTTCTTGCTGTATCATTAGTACTATTTTTGGAATAAAGCAAAAATTATTATTATTTATGGTTTCCACCTTCAGTTTATTGAATGAACATTGAGTAAATCGATAAATAAGCTACATTTTCACATTTGATGACAGATTTCCTGGGGAGTTTCTAATGTATTGTTGGATGTTAACTACAGTTATTATGCAGTATGATTTCAAGTATTCATTCTCACCAAATAACTATCAATCATTTTGACTTTCACGGCATTACCTTAATTATTGATCTTAATACAGGTCTTATTCTGACCAATATGATGCGGGAAATTGCGTTTACTCTGAAAACTGTTTATTCACACCATTCTCAATTCTAGCTGGTAGCCATTAGTATATTTTGTACTACTTATTCGTTATTTGTTACTGATTCGTTTTTTGGTTCTGTATTCTCATGATATATTTTCTCTTAAAACTAGGTGGGCTGTCATCGTACCTCCACCGAGTCCTTTGGAGAATCCATCAGAAAATTTGGATACATCAGAAACCAGTGTATCGCAGGATTCATCATCTGTCATCGATGTGCACAACAAAAAGATGAAAGGCAGTAGTTATGCTGTCGATAGTCGCTCTAATACATTCCTGTTTCGTTCTCATTGGTTTTTCTGGTCCATTTCACTACTATTCACTATTCTGTGCGTTCTCACCGCTTTGATATTCTTTCTAAACATATTTGTCAAGTCTTCAAAAATTTACAACATGACTTATGGTGTATATTTTGAAAATTTATTTCGAGTATTTGAAGCAACACAAAGTATTTTTTCGAAGTTGTTCATGTCACATGTTAATGAAAGTAAAGCATATTTGGTGAATAGTCAGGCAGTGAAAGTGAATCCTCCCACAGAAACACATTCGGTAATACCAGGTTTTCTTCCTTGTCATTTCGATATACCAAACTCGGATGGTTGGGCTGGATGTTCGGCACAAGAAGCTGGTCAACCTGAACCAATTCGTATTAATTTAAACAAAGTTCTAGGTCAAGGTGCAAATGGTACAATGGTTTTTGCGTAAGTTTCGATTAATGTCAAGTATTTTGTTTTCTATTTTAACTCGTATTTTTTGGATTGTTTATTGTAGCTTTTCATGTCTGTTTAGTATGCTTGGTGTTGTGTTATTATTCATCGGTGGAAGTTCTAATCGAGTGTTTTCTTTGATGCATATACTTCATGTTTTGACTTCTTGCATGTTGAGTAAATTACAGTTTACAGGAGACTATATGGCATATCCACTTTTTGAAGTGGCGCCACCGTGATCCGGTGAGTATTAGGGCATTTCAGTAAATAGACCAAAATATACCAGCTTGATTTCATGAAAATTCAATAATATAGGCATAACGTTTGAACTTATTACCTCCTTTAATCGATTACGTTGCGCGGATATCAGTATCAAGCAAGATTTTCTGATAAAAGTGCAGTAAATGTAACGCAGTTCAAGAATATGGTGTCACTGACAATGTGTGCTCCAGAAAAAAATTTGTTCAATGCAAAATTTCATTTGAAAAGCATACGAAAAACAAATAACTTGTCATTAAATCACCATAGCAACAGACTATGCTGGTGCAATTAACGAGGATATGCAATTAAGCCACTTACAGTTTACTGATTACATGACTGACTGGTTTCAACGTAGAACTTTTCACCGATGTGCAGCAGTTCGAGTTGTCACACTCCATGTAGCACACAAAGCAAGGGAAGAGAGTAAAGAGACATTCAAAAGAGAGATGTGATGTCTAGATACAATCAAGACAATTTAGACAATCCCATTCAGTGTAGGTTAGAAACCTAATAAACTAATTTGTTCCTCAATTCAAATTAGCGCTCATAATCTGTATAATTTTTTCTTAATAAATGGAACATTATGTTAACTTATTATATTGAGGTTTACTTTATGATGTTGAGTCGATTGACAAAGTTACGAAGCTTCATTGTTTGTGGTTCTTAAAGGCTTACTGAAGTAGGATAAGGTTGAAAGAAATGTTAGAGGTGATTACAAGAAAATATATCGTCATCAATCAATGAGACCGTTAACTAATTGGTTCAGCCTCATGTGGAAGTGGCGATTAGGTGTTTGAGGTTGTCAGGACGCTGAAAATTAATGTTTACAAACTCTTGATGATATGATACAAAATCATATACAATGGTGCAAATGTGTTGACTCTTTGTCATATTTCCGGTTTTTGAAAAGTTTCACTAATTTTCAAAACTCTCCTCAATCAGCGAATCAAATAGTTTGGGGTGGAATTTCACTACAGTTTCCTCTGGAAACAAAAATAATTGTTTGTGTTACACTATGTGATGTTCTGGAGACTACAAGAGACATCAAGAAAGCCAGCACAGTATTGTTATTGTCTTATTCTGGAATGTGTCACTCATCTTTATTTAACTGTCACTCATTGTATTTCACCTTTTAGGTAATTTTAAGAATGACGACTAGTAGTGGAGTCCACGCTGAGCATTTAGTCCTACTTTGAGCTCGTCAGCTGGAGGTGCCTTCATTCCCCACGTAGATTCGAAAGAAGCACCTATCGTTTGTAACGTCAAAGCGTTTTGATTGAAAATCAAAAGTGAAATTAAAACAAACAAAACTGATACCCATTGCACTAGAGGTGGGTGTCGTGGCCCAAGTAGTCAGATGGATAGCGTTTTAGCGTTTGATGAAACGATGGGTACTGGGTTCGAGTCTCTGCGGGAACATCGTCACTCAGAGGGGAATACAGGCGTATCCAGATGACGAGTGCCAAATAGGACGAAACGTGCATCCTGAATTCCATTGCTAATCACTATCCACCAAACTAATTAAAGTTAATCCTCAGACATCGTCGAAGCGTCCGTACTAGGAGCTGACGTGTAAACAGAGTCCAAACATTTTGGTCCAATCAATCAGCGGGAATGTCAAAATTAGCGTAAATAGAAATAAGTTATTTCACCTCTGTTTGTTGGTTAGTATTTGGGAAGCGTAGTGGTTTAAACTTATGCACTTCTGTGTAATTTTCTACTTTTACCTATCAGCCAGCCTCACAGTATTTTAACTAATCGTACTAGGATTCATGTACTGTCTTTCAGTAGCATCCTTATTTATATATCTGTAATCTTACATTCTGATAAATCCTGAACTTTGTCAAAAAAGTTTATATCAGAAACAAAAGCTGCTGCCTTGCCTAGATTATCACCAGTTTTTACTGTCTAACCGCATCTTCGTGTTTTACCTCTGTGTGTCACATATGCAGTTCAGTGTCCAGTATAAAGAATATTTAGTTAAAAGTATATTTAGCTTAAAAGTAAATAGGTACTGTATATATATATATTTTCATATTCCTTTGTGTTCTGAAAAGAACATAAGGCTTCAGGCTTTGGTGTTTCAGTAGGCTCATGTGTTGTTTCTGTGGTGTGTGACTGACTGCTGGCTTCACAAGCAGTTTCCCCTCTTTTTTGAGCCCATCACCTGCTAGGCGGTTTAGGACTCAGTTAAACAAAATAATATGATTCTCCAAATACCTTGCAATGCATGTGAGTGAGGTCAACTACATAGGTCAAACTAGTAGGTCGGGGTAGTCAGATTGTCAAAACATAAGAATTTAGCTGAGGTAAGAATGGTTGACCCTGAGAAGATAAGTAATTGAGAAAAACGCTCAGCAATTACACTGCATGCATTAACACACAACCACACAATAGGGGGAGGGAGGGTTAAGATTCTAAGAAGTAATATAAGTAGGTGGAGAGAGAGATTGATTACTGAATCCATCCTGGTTCATTGAGTCTGCACCCAATACATGCAATAGAAGTGACTCAATGCAAATACCACAGATATGGAAGATATTATTACCAGTCAAATTTGAGAATAATAAATATTGTTAAAATGTATTCAGGTCACATAATAACATTCTAACAAGTTACTTATTTTGACTATAAAAACAGCTTATATCTAATCTGATTGTATTTGATTGATAACACTAATATTATTTCTGAATGTACATTATGTTATATTGATTTTTTTTGAAATATCTAATCAATTTTTACTCATGTATATAAGTGAAGCAAGAAAGTTGTGTGAGTACCTTGATATGACTATGAGCAGTAATAAATTGTGCTCCAGATGTGGTCATCAGTTATTATTACTGTACAATACTGTGTAATTTATCAAGATAAAATCTTATCCACAATAGGGTTTCAGTCGGAAATGGAACCCTGAGCACGTGCGTGGGGACAAGCATTCTACCCGTCAACCTCCAACGCGTATATATATATATATATATATATATTCACATTCTGTCGGTTTCGATATACACTGTGAAGTTCAACACTATTTCTTGTTAATTATTTACTATAAAAAAGAAATTAAAATAAAACTTTTTTCTAACCTTTTTACTATTGTTGTTTTCTTCTGTGATACAGTGGTACTTATGGTCCACATGAAACAGCTGTTAAACGTATTGTAAGACATCCTTTGCTGGAGAAACATTGGCGTCGTGAACATGCTATATTGTTGCAACACCAACATCCACATTTAGTTCGTTGCTACTGGACAGTAAGTGACTTATAATTTTATAAATAATATAGCATTTTACTAATTAATTCATGTTGAGTATGATAATAATAACTTTCTTTATTCCAAAACAGTACTTATGATACAATATGGAATTCTCAGAATTCGATACAGTATTGCATCTAATTTACTCGACAACAGCAAAAAATAAATACAAAAAACATCATTACAGGGTATACGTAACCAGAATTGATAATTGCAGCTTTTTGGTATTAACAGTGACAACAAAATCGAATATGTACAGAAAGTGTAAAGTAGTATTAATATTTTTAATAATTGAAATTACAAGATAACTGAGAGTGCGCTGGTGGCACAAAGGTAGAATGCTCGCCAACCACGCCTCATGTGGTTCCGGGTTCGATTCCCGGCCACCGATGCACTCCTTAACCTCGCTAAGCCAGTAAAAAGACTGCTGAAGAGGGAACGTTGGACATGAAGCTAGGAACCTCATCTCGTAAAAACAAAACACCACTACTGCTACGGAAACTTCAGGCCTTTAGCCTGAAGCCCTATGTTCCACTGGGAACGTAAAGGTGCGGTAAGAGCTATCCGCTAGCCAAAATTGGTAGACAGCAGTTTACGTCAGTGTTTACTTCCCAAGTCTTGATGATGAGAAAAAAAACACTAAGAAAGACTTTACATGGGCGGGCACGATTAGCAGATATATGCTCTTGCCTTCAAAGAAATGGCCACAAAGAGATGACACAATAACTTCTATTGAGAAAACGACCAATCAGAAGACGCCCTTTCGCTGCTAATAATAACGAATAATAAAGGAATAGAAAAAATAAAAATAAGATAATTGAAATAGTGTCACCATAATCTACAAATAGGAGAAGGTAAACGAGCCAATTATTTTGCTTATAACATACTAAGTCGTACCTTTCATGCTTAACACTACCTCTGTCGTATAGAACTCGGACCAAATAGAGTGTCGTTGAGTTTTTGTGCTTGATTGTATGAGGACATTATCTTTTATACGACGACTTCTACTCTTTCCTGATGGAATGCAGGGTGGGAAGAGTTGGGAATCGAGGGAGTGTTGTGAAATCAGACAATATGGATTTAGACCATTTCTCACAACTACAATAGTAACGGGCTGGCTGACTTAGTGGCACATCACGTGCCCTACTCAAAACCTTTAATACCCTTCACAATATGACATAGCTGTTTCTGGTTAGTCCAGGATAGGCTAGGATAAAGTACAATAGGTAAGATACAAGAGTTTTGCAAATTGTAAAAGTAGAGGTGATGATTCACAATGGTTTATTGGAATTTCCACAAACTTTTCAAATGACAATTCAATGAATCAATTGTCTTGTGACATTTCATCTCTTCAGAATTAACCTAATTCAATATAATCATTACAACGACGCCATTAAAACGTAACACAAAATTGTTTTATAAGCACTGAGTTGGTGCGTGGGGTGGGGTGCTGTTGGATGGTCTAATAAAGTCTTGTTACCTGTCTAATGGTCTCATAAGCAAATTTGACATTATTAGTAAGACTTTTTCTAGCATCTCCAAATTTCAAAATCACCATTTCACCATCAAAAGGTGATATCGTACAGCACAATACAAAACGAATTTATTATTGGATCTTATTGTCAAGTGTTTGCCAGTGTTTTTGTTTCAACGCTATCTGACTGACTTGACTTTCGGCCAGTAACTCCCAGTTTCAAATGCCAGACTGTCTAATTCGTCTTGAGCGACTGGATAGTGCCACCAACCCACATATTCTTAATAATGTAGCTCATAGTTTGGTGTAGCGGAAATCTGATCCAGGAAACTGGGTTGTCCTCAAACATTTGGATGCGGTTCTTTATCTCTAAACATCGATGTTGTATTTCCGTTAGTGATTAAGAATCTGTTTGTCGTTGCGCCTTACATTTTTTGCATTAAATGTTTTACTATTATAATTAAAACGATTTTCAAGGCAGTAGAGTTTAAGTGGATGAATTACCAATTACTCTGTCGATTCGATTGTATTGAACGTTGTCCAGAAATGTCGAGCTGAAGACTACCCGGTTCATTCAATAAAATGTGAACATGGAACAGGAATATCTTCCATGAGCGAATACCTTCTGCGGTCTAGTTACTCCCACCCACCTCTCGCCTATCTTAAAAAGTTTACGTGCTGACCACTAATTATACATGAATAGAAACCTAAGCTATCTATTCAAAAATATTTTGTTAAATCCTTTTGTTTGCTTCGGTGTAAATGTTTTTGCTTTTTGTTTGTCTTTCTGTTGATTAGTGTCATTCCACTCTATTCTATCTTTGACGTCATACTTGGTCTACTTTACACATCGTAAAACCAAACCAATTCGCTTATTTAATAATCTGTTCAAAGTTTGTAATTTAAACACTTCAACTGTACACTCACATAGTTCAAGTCTACGGGCTTATCAAAGACTAGTTTTTCAGGTCATGAAATAGGCATGAACTATCATGTCAATCTTATTATTCCTTTGGATTCGTAGTGGAACATAGGGCTTCAACAACACATCTCCACTTTGTTCTATTTCCTGCCATCCTCTTCATATGGATCCGCGATCGCCCGTAATCTCTCATCTCCTCCACACCACACAATCTCCTCCATGTCACCCTTGCACTGACGACTCACTTGTCGTTACCCATTTGGATTCCACTCGAGCGACAACCTGCATTGCGCGTGATGTCATTCGATGGCCTCCTCAACGTATTCCCGATCCATTTCCATTTTCTCAAACATATTCATTGACCGATTGACTCTCGGTTGCTTTGTTCCCAGCCAAAGTTACTTCTTGCTAATTCTTTCCGGTTGGCCGGTTTTTTATCATCTTCATTATGGATCCAGAAAAGGGGAGCGGCTGTTGATGAAAGTCTGCAACCTGTTGGAAATGACGCGCTAGCCAAGTTTCTGACCCATATAGGAGAACTGACTGACAGAGTGCAGATGATTTCGAAACTGGTTTCAGGTTTACGATGGCGTATCTCGCCTTTCCCATTCTAACTTTGACATCTTCATCCCTTCCGCCTGTAGTTGAAACGATGTTTCCTAGATAAGTGAAAGAGGTAACCTCTGTTAAATCTCCACCGTCGCTGGTGATTGGAGCTGGTTTGGTTGTCGTTGTTGTTGCTGCTGTCCGTTGGTTATCTTTGTCACTTTCGTCTTCTATAAGTTTACCTAGAGTCCTGTCTTCGCTGCACTGCTTCTTCAGCCGGCTTATTTGTTATCTCCTGTAAGTCTTCGAGTTTGCGTGATATTAGACATATATCATCTGCGAAATCCAGATCTTCTAGAGTCTTCTTATCGATGGTCCAGCGTGTGGAATAACATGTATTAAATCAAATTAACACAGAGAGTTCAGAATATGAACCTCCTATTGTATTGCTTTCTTCATTCATTTGCATTCGAAGCGGAACATTAGGCTTGAGCTTTTTGAAGTTTCGGTAGCAGTGATGTTTATTTTTTTTACGGGGTGGGGTTGCTAGTCAAACTTCCCTCCTTCCTTATCGGAATCACTATCGACCAAGCGATGTCGAGAGGAGTGCATCAACTGAGAATTGGACCATGAATCACGTACCACTGAACCACCAAAACATATCCCATAGTACAAGATTAAGAATAACCAGAGCCTGAAAACAATAGGAAATGTTTATTTATTCCTCAGCTATTTCTCATTCAACAGCTTTTCAAAGTAAACACCATTTATTGAATTGAATTTTTGATTTTCCTGTCGATTGATTGGACCGAAGTGCTCGGTCTCAGGTTGACATGTCGGCTTCTCGTGCAGATGCCTCGACGATGTCCGGGCATTTAATTAGTATACAATTGGTGCATGGTGGCTAGCTCTCGTGGCCCAAGTGGCCTAGTGGATAACGCTTTGGCGTTTGAAACTATGGGCACTGGGTTCGAGCCTCGGTGGGAACATCATCACTCACTGAGAAATGCAGGTACATCCAGTGTCTGACGAGTCCTAAATGGGACGGAATGCGTGTTATTCTGGATTCTACTGCCAGCCACCATCCACCAATTGTATACTAAACACCATTTTTTTTATATAGTCTTTCTGTGTAATATATGTTTAACTGGTTGTTTTTCGTGTTGTTGTATTTTTAAATGTAGGGTAGTACTGCAAATTTTCATTATTTAGTAATGCAGAGATGTGCACTAAGCTTAAATGAAGCCTTATTTCGAAGTTCAACAATTTCGTCAACATCAGATAGTACTAATACAACAACTAATCCTATAAAAAGAACCATCCTTGATGATTTGGGTTTAACTCCAGTTGAAATAATTCGTCAATTTATTTTAGCTGTTGCATGTTTACATCGTAACCATATTGGTATGTTCTTACTTTGTTACTTCAGTCTTTATGGTTTTTAAAAAAAAATATGTTTATATCAGTTTGGGTGTTGTAAAATAGATTTGAAATATTTCACTTTGTAAGTTATTCAGTCACTGGGACGCTAGGGAATATTGCTTATGTTGACTTAAGTCCTCATCTTCTGACCTATGTGATCCTGGTGCAGATCCTATTCCACTGGTTTATTCTCAACAATCATGAATCCTTAAGCATCATTGCTCATAAAATTACTTTGTACGTGGTTGATAAGAGTTAAATTCAGGGTTGAAGGTGGTAGCTTTAGAATTATTTGCTCAATGCTTTATGGGGTGCCATTTGAGTTATAGTTTCATTTCAGTTAACAGTAACTTACTTCATGATGTCGTTGTCCAGGATATTCTTGATTTAGCCAGAATATTATTTATCTTACAGAAGTTGATCACAAGCTAACATCTGTTAGGAAACTATTGGAAAGACAGGGGGTACTGAACAGCAGCGCACTCCCAGCAGAGTTTGAACCCAGGACCTCCTAGCTACGGGATGAACTTTTAGTCCATTCAGCCGCTGAGACCTGGTACAATGGTCCATGAATTCCACCTTCTGCCATTCTTGATATTACTTAGCGCAGCGACCAAACTATGTCACAGGCGACTGACCTGGTGTGAAGTCATAACCAGCAGAGTAAACCAAGTCATACAAGAGTATAGTTCACCTGTGACACTGACTAGCAATTGCGCTAAATTATTATGAATTAGCAGAAGTTGAAATTCATGGCCCATTGCGTCTAGCCTCTGTGGCTGAATGCTTTACGAGCTAGCCTTGGTAACCGAGAGGTCCTGGGTTCGAAATCCGTTGGGCACATACAGCCTAAGAGTTTCAAACTACTGTCTAGCACTCCAGTACTGGCTTTCTAATAATCTTCTAACTCGAGTCAACTGGTGGTCGACCGCCGTGACCAATGAAATCTCTGCAAACGAACACTTAAGGTTGATGATGTGACAGGTGGCGGTTGAAGCTGAAGTGAAAATTAGGAACATGGTCCAGAACTCGAACTAGTAGCCATCGGACTAGTAATAGAGTCTGTCAACGTAAGAATAAACTCAGATAGTCTCTCCATCAAATAAGTTATTTTTGACCAAAGAAGCTAAATTCTGGCATTTACAGTCTGTTGGTATGCCATTAGTTTCTTTTTCTTACATCCATTCACCTGACAGGCCAGGAACAACTGTAGAATAAGCCAATAGGTTCAGAGTTATAAAACTGTATCTATTTGATAGGGCATATTTAGTATTCACTTCCCTAGTCATCAATTCAGTACCTTATCATGCGAAGGTAGTATACAATAGTAAGTATTGTAATAATGTTATTCGACTCACCTGATGTGGGCAGCCAAGAAGTAATACACTTCCGAGGGCACACAACGGTCTCTTAAATGTTATTCGGTGGATGGTGACTAGTAGTGGAGTCTGTCTGTCTGTCTGGATTCAACATAGAACTTGGCACCGAAGTGCAGCAGTTCCAGTTGCCACCTTCCAAATAGCACACAGAGGTAGACAAGAAGATGAGTGAAGAGAATTAATAGAGTTTGACAAGTATAAGAGTGAAACAGAATGGGTAATGGTAGAAAGGAATATGAAAGATTACAGAGACTGAATACATCTGCGCCGGCCATTGACAACGATTTTGAGCCATGTCACCTATTGTCTCCAGCCATTGATTCCTAGAGTCCCGAGGGCCCCAACCCGGAAGTCTGCATCTCCCTACCTGACTCAGTTTAACTGTCAAGGATTTCATGGATTGATGAGGCCACGTTTTTGTTTGGCCACCACTGGCTCTTTTCCAACCTTCACCTATATCAGCTAGCAATGCCCGTCGGGGGAGGCGATGGTTAGGCATGCGCAGCACGTGACCTAGCCATCTTAGTCTATGTAATTTTATAGCCTCGTCGATTGATTTTCCCTCTTTGCCCAACACTCTACGCCTAACATCAACATTACTTATCTTGTGAAACCACCTAACGTGAGACAGAGATCGCAGACATCTATGATCGAAAGCAGTCAACCTTTTCATGTCTTCAACGCGTATTGGCCATGTTTCAGAGCCATAGAGAAGGACGGAGCGAACTGATGAGCAGTACACACGTCCCTTGGTTGATAACCGGATGTCACGCCTACGCCAGAAATGGTGTAAGTCAGCGAAAGCACCTCGAGCTTTTCGGATCCGTGCTGAGATTTCATCGCCAATCAGTCCGTTGGTGTTAATACAACTTCCCAAATAGGTGAAGTGGTCAACATGTTCTATCACTTCCCTCCCTATCACTAAGTTAGGGGTTGACGTGGTCCAGTCCTGTAGCAGCATCTTACATTTTGTAGGGGCGAATCGCATGCCAAACATACGAAGATTGCTGCTCAAGGTGTTCAGAAGACTCTGAATTTTTTCAGCATCCTCCCCTAACAGGACTATGTCATCTGCATATTCTAAGTCCATAAGACTATTCCCTGGTAACAAGTCGATTCCTAAGTCATTACGTTCAGTTAAGGATACTTCCATTAGCATATCTATGATACTAGTAGTGGAGTCCAGAGAGCAGCCTTTTGTGCTATTTGGCACTCGTCAGATGGATGTGCCTGCAGACCTCAATAACTGATGATGTTCCTACTGAGACTCCAACCCTGCCTGCATCCATAGTTTCAAACACCAAGGTGCTATGCTTTAAGGCACTTGGACCACGACAGGCAACTCTTGTCCAACGGGAATCATTTATTGTGTGTCTTAAACAAGCACATGTGATTATAATTAAATGTTACATGTAACAAAAGTTATAATGAAGGAGACTTTTGCTGATAATCAATACCTGTTCATTGTATGATTCTTTTTCTAAACAAGTTATTTTTCTAATAGGTCAATAGTGTGTCGATGTTAACTTCTTTACTGCTTAAAGGGTTTACGCTTTTAGAGAGCTATGCGCAATAAACAGACAGACTGACCGACTAATACATGTAATAAGACAATGTATGATACAGGACTCCCTCGGGGTAAACAGATAAATAAAGTCTAATGGGGTTTTAAAGTGAATAGAAATTGTGGTCGATCTTGACCTGACTCGTTCTCAAAGACCTTATACTGTATTCAATCGCCTAACTTCAATGCTTCATCAACCGAGGATCTCTAATTTGTAAATATTACTTAACACTAATATCCTTCTTTAAACAACTCCTTTACACGTTGCTTCAATCAACCGACAGTTATAAAAACATGTTTCAAAGTCATTTAAACTTGTACACTTACTTTTTCTGTGAACTAGAAGTAGGACACCTCTCACTCTAGTGTGTCTGAATAGCCTAGTAACATGTATACTTTATGTAAGAAGTCATTCAATCTAATGATCAACAGTAATAGCTCACTCCCTCCCTTTTCCGCAAACGAAATGAATCACACACTACTTTCTAACAAATATCCACACCAAAAATGTTACACATTTCATGGAATAATTTGTTGAATCACGTACTAATTATTATTATAGGCATTAATTTCACATTTTTATGTTTCGACTAAACCACTCTAACATTTTAAATCTCGTTTGAAAACAAACGTTTGAGCTCTGAGTTGGATGGTTAATTTGCGAAGCTTTCATCACCCTACTGGGTCACATCTTCAGCGCATACTTCAATTTGAAGTGAGCTTTTAGATTTCTCCACGAGTTTATTAATCATCTCTCCTGGTGACCTTGGACGTGATTGGTTGTTTATGTGTGTTTTCACACCTTCTAGGTTACTTGTATTGGAACTGATTGTTTCTTTGACTTGAACTTTGACCCTTTGTGTGTGAAGTTTCTTTCTTATTGGTTGATAAATTTTGTCTATCTCGATGTGTCTATTGATTGATGATTCACTGGAATGCCAAGCTTCTAAAAATTCTCTAGCATTCTTGTTATTTCCTTTGTCTAATATTTGAACGTTGTCCCAGTCGAATTGATGTCCGTGGTTGTCTGTGTGTAGTGAAATGAGGGAGTGGATATCATGTCTTTTGACGGCTAGCTTATGTTCGTGGATACGAAGACGAAGGGGACGTCCACTTTGGCCAATGTAGTGTTTTTCGCAGTTGTTACAGTTTATTTTGTAGATGATGTTGGTTTTATCTTCTTTCGCTGTTGAGTCTTTTGGTTGACATAGAATTGAGTGAAGCGACTTTGTTGGTTTGTGTACGACGTCAATTCCTAAAGGTTTGAAGAGTCTTTTAGTGATTTCTGAGATATCCTTTATATATGGTAAGGCGATTTTCTTTGTGTTCTCCTTGGTGGCTTTTGCTTTGGTAGGTTGGCTTGGGGGTATATGTCTCTTGATGAAATTCCGTGGATATCCATTCTTTTGGAAGACGTCCATGAGATACTTTTCTTCAATTTTTCTTAAGGTGGGAGTGCTGCAGTGAGTCCTTGCTCTCTTGAATAGTGTTTGTATGCAATTCCTTTTGTGTGTTATTGGGTTGTTGCTGTTGTAATTCAGTATTTGGTCTGTGTGAGTTGATTTCCTATAAACTTGAGTTTCTAATTCTCCTGTAGTTGTTCGCCTGACTAAGACGTCCAAAAATGGTATTTTGTTCTCGGATTCCTCTTCTCTTGTGAATTTGATGTCGTTGAAGACGTTGTTTATTAAGTTGTGAGTTTTATCTAATTCGTTTCTTTTGATTATTACAAATGTGTCGTCGACGTAGCGTATCCAAATCTTGGGTTTGATCTTTGGTAGAATTATGTTTTCGAGTCTTTGCATCACTGCTTCTGCAATCAAACCTGATATTGGCGATCCCATGGGTGTTCCTTTGACTTGTTCATATATTTGGCCGTTGAATTGGAAGTATGTTGTTAGGCATAGATTTATGCATTCCATCCAGCTTGTGTGTTGCATTTTTGATTGTTGTGGAAGTTGTTCGTCGTTGCTAAGTAATTGCTCCATGGTTTCTTTTGCTAGGTTTTGTCCGATGGAGGTATATAATGCTGTCACGTCGAAGGATACCATTATTTCTTGTTCATCTATTTGGATGCCTCTGATTTTCTCTAGGAATTGGATAGCAGAGTTGATGGAGTGATCGCAAGATTCCGTTAGGTGTTTTAGTTTTCTGTATAATTCTTTGGATAAATTATATGTTGGAGTTCCTGGGAGTGATACAATTGGTCGTAACGGGATATTTGCCTTGTGTATTTTGGGTCTGCCGTAGAATCGAGGTAGGACTGGTCCATTGGATTTCATTCGCCATTGGTCTTGTTTTGTGATCTGTCCAGTTTTGGTGAGCTTGTTTAAGGTCCTTTGGATGCGGTTATCCAATGTTTGTATGGGATTTGTTGGGAGTTGTTGATATACATCTTCATCTTTGAGTAGTTCTTCAGCTTTCTTGGTGTATTCTTCTCTGTCCATGACTACTGTGTTTTTCACTTGACAGTGTGATTGCGGTGGTCAGCGTTGACAGGTGTTCCTGGTTGAGGGTCTTCTCTAATTTTGCTTTTTGGATATCTATAATTTGTTGATATTTGTTGACCCGATAATGTGCGTCTGTAATCATTAATTTGGCCATTCGTCTTCCACATTGTTCGGCCAATTTCCATCCCATTGGGCAGTTGACTGGTGGTTTGTATCTTACACTCTTTGGTAGGATTTGACGACGAAGGCACTCATGGAGAAAGAATAATTGTTCTCTGGTGGATCCATGCCTTTTGGCGAAGTCTTCCCACTTTCGAACAGAGAGAAGCGTATCCCGCTCGTAAGATTTAGATATGATAGAGAAGATTTGTAGCTCAGGTGGATGATTTTGATGTGGTTTTGTTCTCTGAGCTGGATGGTTAATTTGCGAAGCTTTCATCACCCTACTGGGTCATTACTCAAATCATCAAACTTGAACGAGGAAACACAGAAAGAGATACGCCAAACAATTGTACCAATGGTCAAACAGAAAAAACGACACACACAACTCAACGCTCAAGAACTAAAGGCCCTCAAAAAGCTGAAAAATTGGAAAGACATCGTCATTCTACCAGCCGACAAAGGAAGAAGACTGAGGTTAGGCCTCAGTCGAGTGCTAGGTAACCAGGGGAAATCAATCGACGAAGCTGTGAAATCACATCGACTGAGATGGTTAGGACATGTGTTACGCACTCATGCATAGTCATCGCCTTCCTCGACCGACGGGTAATGTTAGCTGACGTAGGGTTAGGCTGGAAAAGGGCTAGCGGCGGTCAAACAAAAACATGGCACCAGTCAATGAAATCTAGAACAGTTAGTCTAAGCCAAACTTCCTGATTAGTCGGGGTCCTTGGGACGGTAAAAATAAATGGTTGGAAACAATTGGTGATATGGCTCAAAATCGTTCTCAATGGTGCAGATGTTTCCACTCCCTGTGACTTATGACTTCCAATGAAACTATATTGTTCTTCGTTATTACTATTCCTTTGTCCCGCACCTCTGTTTACTGTCTCTATTATGCATTTCTTTTTACTTTCTACTCTTTCATTGTGTGCCACATGGAATGTGGCGACTTGAACTGCCGCCCATTTGTGCAAAGTTCTATGTCGAAAACAGACAGAGAGACAGAACTCCATTTCATCATGTTCTCTGCAGTTTTCCTTAACTGGTTACACAATATCCCCTTAATCTCTCACCTCCTCCTCACACGATCTGCTGCATGTCAACCTTAGGCAACCAAGTCGTCCTTAGCTACTGAGGTTTCACTAGAGGTTATCCTTGGCCACACATAATCAGTTTCTGGCGGACAGACAAACAAAGAAACAGTTATTACCCTAATACAGCGCAACAGTATTGCCCAGAAGCCCAACATTTTTATCCCCAGTCATACACCGAGACATCAAACAGAAGCTATTGTTATCATTATTTGTTCCTTGCGTCCTGAGAAGAGCATAGGGCTTCAGCAGCACTTGTCCATTTTATCCTGTGCATATATGTATAAATATATGTACAGGGTAGTAAAAAAAGTAATAAGATAATAAGTCATAATCATATTATGTAAGAGTTCGGAAGAAATACAGGAGTTATAAGCACCTTGTCTGTGTCAACAAACTCCTTCAAGGTAATCTACAAAATGAAAAATAACCTCCTAACAACAATAGGCCCTCTTCCCCTTTGCATTGTTGAAGCTCTAGACATTCAAGTAGAGAAATCGGAGCTGTACATACAATGGAAAATTATTATTCAACCACATTTACTATCATGGTAACAATCCTTTTTTTCTTTTATGGGGGATTTCATCATGAGCTGACATCAGTTAGAGAACCATTGTAAACCAGCAGGGATTACTGGACAGCTGTTTCATCCTAGTTTGGGACTCTTCATCAGTACGCACCCACCAGGGGTCGAATCCAGGAGCTTCTGGTTACAAGGCGAGGTCGTAGACCATTGAACCACTAGGACCCGATCCAATGGTCCTTGAATTCTAACTTCTGCTAATTCACGACATAGTGCGACCATTTCGCAATGTGTTCTTCGATGAATTACTGCCTCATCTTCGACCTGCTGTACCCTACTAGTCATGGCTTCCCACTAGGACCCCAGGTAGCTACTTGCCTGAATAGAGTCAGTCGCTAGTGAGCATCAGATTAATTTTCAAGTATTGGTTTTGTAGGGATTTTGTTTGATTGGTTGGAGGATTTCATCATGAGCTGACATTAGTTAGACAACCACTGGAAAACCTGAAGGGGGTACTGGACAGGTGTTTCGCCAGTCTAGTTTGGGACTCTTCGGCAGTTCGCATCCACCGCAACAATGATTATGACAACTCACCACTTTCACTAAGAAAAATTGTATATAATTGCTATTGTACAACTAAAAAGGGGGAAATGAATTCACCGAAAAATCGCCTCTTCACTTAGCACTACTTGTCGTTGTTGTTATTGTTCTCATTAATGCCTTAGATGAAGATTATTCATACCAAGGTTATATGTGAGGTTAGTTAAGCATATATTGATAAAATATGTATTCCTCTTATTTGTATCAAATAATGTCTTCATGATTGTGTGTATCGTTTTCTGCCTCTCTCTCTCTCTCTCTCCCTTTTCATAATTCCAGTTCATAGAGATTTGAAACCAAGTAATATACTCATAACTATTGACAATAATAACAATATTAATAATAATAATAATAATAACAATAATAATACTGACAGCGGCAATAATCAGTCTATTCGGAAAGCACGTATTGTTGTTGGAGATTTCGGTCTGTCACGTCCTTTATCTACAGATGAACAACAGGCTGATACAACTTTGAATTCATTTGGACCGCATATTTCAGTGAAAATTCAACAAATGAAAAATTGTCTATCAGTAACTAATGATAATAATAATAATAATAATGGTTGTACTGATGATACTGGTTTAGCTGACGCCAAACAATTGAAAGATGGTAACAATCAATGCAATGCTGATAACAATGCTAATGTTTATGGTATATGTGTAAGGTATGGTGATCAGAAACAGCCCACTACTACTGCTACTACCACTGATACTTTGAATGGAAAAGAGAACAAGTGTGATACAGATAATAGTGTTTGCTTTACTTTTGGTACACTTGGTTGGATGGCACCAGAACTTTGTGATACAGAATCAGCGGCACAAGTGGTAATTTATTATATATTCTTTTTTCTTATAGTATATGCATTCATATGTTATCACTATTCGTTTTCGAGTGGAAGATAACAGTTTAGCAGCATATCTCTATCGTTCACTGTTCTCGTCAGCCACCTTCGTTTGGCTTCACAAACTGTCCGCAAGCTTTCATTTCATCCTTCATATAATCTCCTTCCTATCACCATGGGACACTTACTCCCGTTGTTTCCCATTCAAGTTCAACTTGATGTCCTGGATTGTGGTGTTAGTCAGTTTTCTTCTCAGCGCATGCCCAATCCATTTCGCATTTCCTCTTGTATATTTGTTAAGAAATAGGTTTGTTGGATGGAGGATTTAATCGTGAGGTGATATCAGTTAGAGAACCATTGGAGAACCTGCAGGGAGTATTGGGCAGCTATTCCGTTCACCTTGTTTGGGACTCTCCTTTGGCAGTATGGACCCACCGACAGGATCCGAACCCAGGAAATTCTGGTTACAAAGCAAAGCTCATAGACCATGAAGCCACTTAGACCTGAACCAATGGCTAGCCCATGAATTCTAACTTGTGTCAATTCATGATGTAGTGCGACCATTTCGCAATGTGTTCTTCAGTGAGTTACTGCCTTGCCCTCAACCATCTGTATCCTATCGGTCACAGCTTCATACTAGAACCCTGGTTAACTGCCTGAATAGAGCCAGTCGCTAGTGAGCATCAGAATGATTTTCAATCATTGGTTTTCTGGGGATTTCATCATGGGCTGACTTCAGGTCCTGGTTTCGAACCCTTGTGGTTGTGCACTGATGAAGAGTCTCAAACTAGAAAGAAACAGCTGGCTAGTTTTTCCCGCTGGTTTCCGATGCTTCTCAAAATGTTGTCACCTCATGATGAAATCCTTCGGCCAATGAAACAAAATGCCCACAAAACCAATAGGTTCTTGGCTGGTTACAGTAGCGATGACTCTACATCATAATTTTGCCGAAGTTAGAATTTATCAGTCTTTTGATTTAGCCCCTGGGATTCGAATGGTCAATGGCTACACGTTGTAGACATGAAGCCGTGGGTTAAATCCTCTTTGGGTTCTTTGGTGCTCACTTCTGTAAAATTCTCCAATTAGGATTGTCTACTAATGAATAATTCTCTAACTATTGTCGGTTTGTAACGAAATCTGTATTAAGAAGTTAATCAAAATCGCCACAAATTCAAAATTTGAATAATGTTAAATTGTTCTTTAGTTAGTGCTTATAGATAAGTGATTTCTCCAGTTGTGAAAATAACATAACCCATGTGATTAAAGAAGGTGGACATATGGGCTCTTAGTACAGACCCTTAGACGATGTCTGAGGGTTAAAGTTCATATTATTTGGTGGATAGAATCCAGGATGCGCGTTCCACCCTATGTACAACTTGTGGTTGCAGGTATATTTAGCTGACGAGCCCCAGAGACGATGAAATGTGCATCACGTATTCTACTGCTGATCACCATCCGTCAAATAACTTACAGTGTTATCTTTTCCCAGTAAATCGACCGACTAATGACTTAATACTTTTTTTCCTTCTCACCTTCTTTCTCCTTTATGTGTATAGAAATTCGCTATCGATATATTTGCTTGTGGTCTATTGGCTTTCTATGTGTTAACGCATGGTAAACATCCATATGATCGATGCGACAAGGAATCCAGTGAATTTCGGACAGAAAATAGTACTCAATCGTCAACATCTTCGTCGTCATCATCAAGAACATCGTTATCTTCGTCTGTTATCAATACCAATACTAATACTGGGTCTACTAATTCTGGAAATGAGAACAAATCATTTAGATGTACATCTTTAAGTCGACAGCATGAAAGGCAACTGGCGATAGCTGAACGTTGTGAACCTAATTTAAGTATATTGACAGAAAATTCAACAAATGTTTGTGAAAGTAAGTTAGCCGGTCAGTGTTATTTTGTTAATGTTTACTTTACAGTGTCTTACTTTCTTAAGTTTCTTATCATCAGCTATTTAAGATTGATTTTTATAGGACAAAGTGGTAACCTAGTTTTCACCCCCTCCGGTCTCCTTCCCGCAACCATTTAGACATCATGCTCTATCATTTTGTTCAGTCATGCTTTTCACTTCATTTTCCAAGATAGCACTCAACTTTCAAACATTGGGTTCCAGGTTCGAACCGCGCCTCACCTACCTCAACCTGTATAACTGGGTTTTCAAGATTTTGAATTCCGTCTTTCTCATAAGTGGCAAAAAGCATCAGCAAATTAGATAGGGGGTCTTTATGTAAAGTAACTCTTATTAACATATAACTTCACAAGCAAAAGTGTATTACAGCGAACAACAACATACTTTCAGTAAGCTTAATGACTACATAAAATAAATACTTGATACGTTGATTTCGGTCAATACACACTGTCTTCACAGGCCTGTTCTAATTGTTCAACTAGGAAAACTTAACATTTTAGTTGATGTCTTCTTGTTACCGTGGATTACGGCAATATGTAGTTAATATTTCCATGACAATAATGTTTATCAGTTTGTCAGGACAGCATCTGTCCTCTTTTCCTGCTATGCATCGTCAATAGGCAGAAATTAGAATTGATGGGTCATTAAATTCCATCCTCGTAGCCCAAGAGTTAATCAGTTCACCTTACGTCCTGATGGTCCTGGGAGCGATCCTTGATGAGGTCATGGTTGCGTACGATTGACGTGTCCCAAACTAGGTGGATTAAGCAGCTGTCCAGTACTCCCTGTTCTTTGGTGGTTGTCTGACTTATATGTCAACGCGTGATCAAATTTGAAATCAATTAAATTTCTGCAAACAAGAACTTGAAAACAAAACATCATACTCTTCTCTTACATAATCACCAAACACATGATGATTGCAAACTAATCATGACCCATATAAAGTTCGCTTTTATCTCTCTCTCTCTCTGTGTTGTAGTTTATTCATTTTCCAAGTCTGTAAGGTCTTGTAATTAATGGTAATGAAACTTATCATGCATCTCAGCACACATGACCAAAACAACAAACTTAAGTTATTCTCACATTTTCTGCGAAATTCCTGAACTATAAATTGATAAAATAACGATAGGGATTGATTACTGAAATTTTTTGTCCATCTGAATCACATTATTATTGTTTTTATAATTAGGCTTATTCAAACAAGACTCTTTGTTATCTTCGATACCGTATGATTTTAAAGATACGACAAAGTAAAGTTATTCGTTTGGTTGTTTAGTTATAACACCAAAATCAGAAATTATGGGTGTGGATTTTGAATGTCAATATTCATATTTCAAACAGCATTATAGTGTGATGATAAGCGTACATCAATTTCTGTGTGTTTTGGCTATTTCATCTTTTATCTGGAATCTACTAGCCTGGCTTATAACTGATAGAAGGACCTGGTCCCAAACTCCAGCTGGTGCGTACTGATGAAGAGTCTCAAAGTCGGATGAAACACATATCTAGTACTTCTTGGTTTTCTAGTGGTTCTCTAACCGATTTCACCTCTTTGTCAAACATGTAATCGACCAATCCCCTGCAAGGCAAAACTTGAAAGCATCATACAGAGCTGTAGGTGCATGCAGTTGATAAGTCTAGAGTAGGCGGAAACTGTCATTGAAAAGAAAACAATGAAGGTACCTTGATATTGTTTAGAAATAACATGAAAACGTAGGACTTGAAATAATCGAAATGCTTTTTCATAATTACTGGAGTTAAAGCTGGGCTTACAGTTAAGATAAATTCTTCATGTGTTCAGTGACAAATCCATGTAATTCACATATGCAGGTAATTTTCTTAATGGGAAGAAGTGTAGATAGATCTTCACAGTATTTACTAAAACGAAAATGAATTTAATTGGATTAAATAATAATAATAATAATAATATGAACCAGCAGTAGTGACGATAGGAACTCTCAGTTTCTTCACTATGAACATTCAATGTTGATCTGAATTCCATTTTTATCGTTTACATTATTTTTTCTATTTTCAATTTCAATTTATATTTATTGTTAAAATATGAATATGATGCAGAATCGATGTATTGATGTGTCAAGTTGTTTTTTCTACGTGAAGGTTCACTGATGATATTTATGTTATCACTTTTATTCCCTTTATGTTCCGAGTAGAATAGAGGGTTTCCGCAAAACATCTCTATTTCACTCTGTTCTTTGTAGTCTGCCGGGATGATTGTCCACAAGTTCTCGTCTCCCCTTCACATGATCTCCTCCTTATCACCCTTTAACTGACGCGCAACTCGTCGTTTCCTAATGGAGTTCTCCGCAAGCACGTGCCTGGCGTGTGTGTTGGTTCGTTGCCTGATAGAGTTCCTTATTGCTCATCCTTTCCAGCCATTTGATCTTCGAAAGGTGTTGACAAAGGTCTTCATTAGCCTTTTTGAAATGCTTTCGGTAGGCGTCAAATCCTTGAACCATGTAGGCACATCTACAGCTAAAAAAACTCAAAATAAAATCAATTTCGTGGATTCTTTTCGATTGCGTACGTCCTTAACACTATCAAAATATAATTTACATGCTTTTTTCACAGTGACGTCAAGTTATGGATAGAATTGTATTGCTCATACTTTCTCTCTTTTATAGAAAAGCTTGTTTAGAAATCTTGTGACTTATATTTTGAAAATGTTTACGAAAAATACCGGTGGAAAAATCTGTGGTATAAAATATATATTCAGACTAATCAAGGGAATCGGTTGTTGTTGTTGTACAAGATATATCTTATGAGTATAAGAGCCGATAAACAAAAAAAGTGGGCTCAAAGTAAGCTATCATTATTCACCGAACATTTCAGCTACTGTAATCGCAACTAGTAGTTGCTAGCTAACCATTGAAAGTAAAGTCTCGGTTGAAAGTGCAAGACACGTTGCAATAAATTATTCATACCAATAAGAGATAATAAGTGATCCAGAATTTTGACACATGTTCATGTATTTGACTTCTTTTGCAGCATACCTTTTACCTGTTAATCGTAAATTAGAGTGTTTTATCACTTGGCTTGCTGACAAATATTTCATGTGGGGAAACTGTATAGGTTTAAAAGTAAATAACAAATCTATTCGTTACTCATCCTATTTTTGATTTCCCATGTATTTCTCTTATAAGTATCAGACAGGGTCCAATAATCAATAATTGATCTGATTCTCACTATTCACACAGTTGCCTGGGGTTCTAGTGGGAAGCTTAAACAAAATTCAGTGTATGGATTCATTGGTATAGTGGTTACATATTAAAGACAAGAGGTTAGTAACTAATACACTGAGTAACAATGTGGTGAGTTTAACTCAACTCATATAAAGAAGAGACAAGCAAACTCACACTATAACAAAGTGCGGGGGGGGGTAAATCTAAAGATTACATAATCAAATGAGAGAGAGAATGAAGACCTCATTTATTTATTTAAACGCATAAAAACTTGGTACAATATGGCACCAAGAAGGATGCCCCACACAATAATAATCAAACAACATAGATCAAAAGAAAAAAAGAAAGAAGAGAAATATATATATATATATATATAAGCAGAGAACGGATAAAGAACTTCATCTGGAAGGAAAACAGTCACACTTAACAGGTTCAAACAGTATTCGTTAACTATCATCAGGAAGGGAAGAAAGAAGGAAATAGCAACACGTGTAATAGCACGCGACAAGTCTCATTGATTGTTTGTTGCTTCATCCAATTCATTGTGTGAGGGCTGAGATACTGCCCGGGCGCCCAGATCGAAGCAGGTGGTTTTCTTAAGGGACCAACCCCACGAGCCTTCGACTTGGAGTCTAATCCGAAAGGCAGAGGAGCAGCGTCAGGAGCTGCATTCTCATGGTTTCCGGTGACCCATATGGGTTCATACGCCATTTGATCCGATTGCATACTAGAGCCCTTGTACCCCATGGTAACTGTTTTAGTTTAACCGCTATCCAAACAACCTTCCTGACATGATAGGACCTGGAGGGACATGAGTTCCAGTCAGTTTAGTATTTTGGGTCATTACGGTATTCAAGCCCGACCACCACGACAAGGTAACAGTTATAGGCCTGTTTCTTAGCACATAAATCGGGTTTCAGACGTTTGATAGGCATTGTTTCGGTAAATTTGAGGTGAATTGAGCCATTCTGTCTACTGGTAATTTGAAAGCATTTTACGGTGTCCACCCCATAGAACAATCAAACAATGGAAACAAAAGAATTCTTCACACTGGTTAACCAATCATCTGTTAATCATTGTTGTGATGATTAATGGTAATTTTGTGAACCACACCCAGTGTATTCCACTAGAACAAATAATCTCACACTTTAACACTATTTAGTTTTACCATAGTGTAACCTGACGATTGCAAACGTATGCGTGTGTGTGTGATTGTTAGTTTGTTGACCACGCTATGTATGCATGTGTTTGAATTTCACTCATCCAAAGCCTATATAAAACTACTATTATTGAGGTCACTACTGCTGTATATTACGATAAGCAATGAACAGGTGATGATTATTCTCTTTTTTCAATATCGAAGACAATAAATAGAGTCCTTTGTCTATTCCTTTGAATTTATTTAAACAGACATGATGGTGATTCATCTGTAAAATTGAATAATGATTGCTTTGTGGTAGGGTTATTTCGGTAGGAATTGTAAAATATTAGGTGTCGGGTTTCTGACCAATTGTTGACTCATGAAGTGTGTTCACGTTTATTACTAGTCGCAATGGTCAAGAGGTTTTGATAAGGGGTTAGTGATAGGTGTGTAAATTTCTACAGTGAGAGGAGCAGCTGTTTTCATTGCTTTTCTGGTTAACTCTAGCCTTTCATGAAAACGTCTCATTGAAATATATGCAGGTGAACATAGTTTGGTAGGAGGTTAGACATCAGTACTATTTCTGCTGCTGTCTCACACGCATTCATCATGTAGATTGATTTG